ACCTCCTCCTTACCACCACGGCAACGGCATTACTATCAAAGGGGAAGGTGGAAACCTACAAGCTGCCCACCGAGCCTCTCACCATTGAAGAGGCACTGTCCGGGCCGAACAAGGAGCAATGGAGGGCTGCAATCCAGGAGGAACTTGATACCTTGGCTGAAAGGGGGACATGGGAGCTTGTGAACATGTCCGAAGGGAGGAAACCAGTGGGAGTGCGCTGGATTTTCAAGATCAAAACGGGAGACATGGGTCAACTTGAGCGCTTCAAGGCAAGACTCGTCGCTAAAGGCTACACTCAGGTGGAAGGAGAGGACTACGACCAAATCTACGCACCTGTGAGTTAACAACGGCAAGGACCATGCTAAAGGTGGTGACGGCACGTGGGTACTTCATGGTGCAGCTGGACATAAAAAATGCCTTTCTCTATGGCATCTTGAAGGAGACTTTTTACATGAATCAGCCACCGGGGTGTGAGGACGGCACGGACAGAAAGTGCAAGCTCATAAAAGCACTTTATGGGCTGAAACAAAGCCCACGGGAGTGGTATCTAGCTATGGATGCGCAGCTGGAAAAAGGGGGGTTTGTCAAGAGCCAATGCGACCGTGCATTCTACTGGAAGGGAGAAGGGGAGAACAAGGTGTTCCTACTCCTCTACGTGGATGATATCCTAGTGGCTGGAGCAAAGGAGGAGAAGGTGGAGGAGGTGTACACTCACCTTGCAGCTGTATTTCAGGTGAAGAAGATTCCAAGGACCACTCTCTTCCTTGGAATGAACCTGGAGAGGAATAGGGAGGAGAAGAAGGTGCTGCTATACCAGAAGAAGTACTTTCAGAGGTTGCGGGAGAGGTTTGGAGGGCAATGCAAGACCAAACCAGTAACAACACCTCTCACCAGCCTTGCGGACAAGGAGGTCGATGTGGGAGCAGAAACTGAGGCATGGGGCAGCAAGGAGAGAGCACTGAAAGCATACCAATCCATGGTAGGCTCAGTCATGTACCCAGTGTCATGCACACGGGTTGATGTGGCCTATGCTGCAAGTTTTCTTGGACAGAAAGTGCTGCAGCCCGAGGGACGCAAGTGGAAGGAAATGGAGCGGACAATCACTTACCTCTTGCAACGGGATGATGAGGGGCTGCTGTTTGAAGGAGGAGAGGAGAGTCTAGAGCTCGTGGGGTACGCTGACGCCTCACATGCTTCGGACAAGAAGACCGGGAGGGGAGAATATGGTTATGTCTACCTCCTTGGTGGAACGGCAATCATGTGGCAAGCCAAGGAGCTCATCGATGTCGCTCTGTCCAGCGCAGAGGCTGAATACATGGCACTGTTTTACGCATGCCAAGAGGGCGTGTGGCTGCGGGTCAACGTGGAAGGACCTACAACAATCAAATCGGACAGCAAATCAGCAATTGACCTTGCACGAAACGACAATTGGCATGGGCGTACCAAACACATGAATGTGAGGTACCATTGGGTACGAGAGCAGCTGCAGAAGAAGGCATTCACCTTCGTGCACGTGGGAACACAGGAGCAGCCAGCGGACTTCCTGACTAAGGTGCTGCCAAAAACAAACTTCGAGCATTGCAAGTATCTTGTCGGCATGCGCACCTTCAAGGACTTGCAGGGGAGCAGCGGAGCAGCAACACGAGACGCTACACCACCTTACAGACGGGATCAGCAAGGGAAGAAAAGGCTGGTTACATGGTAACCATAGGAGCATAGGAGGAAGGCATCTAGCAAACCACAGGGGAGATTGTTAAGGTGGTTTGCCACTGTCCCCTTTGACTACCGACCTATGCATTAGTCCTAGGGACGGTAGCGCAATGCTAAGAACGGTGGGAAATACCATTGTAAGGTGGGGAACCCACAGCTAGAACGGTGGGACGGAATCCTAAGGAACTATGGAAGGAATGCGCTAGGAAAAGAAGAAAAAAACGGAATGGTGGGAAAGTGGGTTTCGGGAAATGTCGAGAAGACATTTGCCGTAACCTAAAATGTCCAACCGCAACCGAACCGTGTTCGGTGCGGATGAGACACGGGGGTTTCGGTTCCGGTGTCGGTTACCGAAATCGGCTACGCATGCGGCTCGGGCTGAAACGCGGATGACGCGTTACGCGAGGCGCACACCACATTTCGAAATGCTCAAATGTCTTGTTGTTTCAATCATTTTGTGTACTTCCCTGTTTTGAGTTAAACTTGCACCAGAAAACCAGAAATCTCTCCAAGTATCTACTAATCTCCAACGCTAGCTAGAGGCTATACATAATCTAAGAGCAAGACCCCCTGCGACGTCGCTACTGTCCGGACCAAATCTGACACTTTTCTGCCAAAAAGTAGTCAGGGCTACCCTACTGACACCATTCGAACGGCATTTTGGACTGTCCGTTTTGGCTGCACTGTCATTGGTGCGCTAAGTGGGTGTGAACCTCAACCAGTATCGCGCCGCTGATTTTTGGTGGCGGAATTTCCGAGTTATGTACGATTTCTGTAATGCGTGTTACATTTCGTGGTGAAATTCAATTCTTGATAGTGCAATCGTCCCAATCGTCCGGACGGAGCTATGTCCGGACGGTTTGGAAGCATTGTCCGGACTTTGGATGGAAACGGAAAAAAAGTTACGCGCCCTAATTGTCATGTTGGTTCACAAATGACAAGGCGAGTTGTGGCGATAGTCATCAATTCGTCTAGCCAGATGCTACTCAGACACCTTGCATTGCTGGATTTGAGACACGCTGGCAAACTTATAAGGACTCGTCACCTTTGTTCAATCCCCAGCACCGATCCCGCGCAGGATCGTTTTTTGGCGAGGTTGAATAATGCTATGATGAGTTTTAGTGCGGTCCCTACACGAAACCCTTTGTTTCTCCTGTTTTTTAACCTCGCTATAAAACGAACCTGTGTAGGATCGGTGCTGGGATTGAACATAGGTGATGCGTCCTAAAGCTCTGTGCGAGATTCTAAGTTTACACCTAGTCCGCGGTATTTTAACCGCCGCTATCTTAACCGCGCGAGGGTACTTCTCATTGGTCAAATTTTTTTATACGAGTAGTTTTGAAATTTATTGAGGGTAGAGTATAGCATACCCTTTGTGAGACGACGGCAGTCAAAACCTGGTCAATGCCTATCCGCCCTCTATTTCGGAGCACTAAGTGTGAGTTTCTTTAGAAGGAAATGATTCTGGCTGCAAAACAATAGCCTTGAAGTCTCTGGGTGCCCATCCCATTACCCGAAAACGAACAAAGGGTGTTTGAAGCGAAACAGTTCACGTGGTTAAAATACCGCGGACTAGGTGTAGTCGGATCAGGTAAGGAGTTTAGATTGGATTGGTAGACCGATCAGATTGGATTAGTTAGGCCTGGTCGACCCAATCTATTGGGCTGGTTAGGGGAGGCCCAACCAGATCCTTGGTTCGGCTGGGTCGGCATGCATGATACAACATACAGCCTTCCTGGAAATGACTGATCGGGTTAGATTGATTGAATCTAGGCAATCGGGATGGATCGCAACAAGTCGCAAGTACTGTATACGGCTTCCTCCTCGGACTTGTAACCAGGACGAAAGCATGCTGTAACATACACGATTCGTGATGTGTACATAAGTGCAGACGTTTCGTGAGTCTTGTCACGAGAGGTGCACCAGTCTGAAACTATGGGACCAGTGAGTGAGTACAGTATCATGTACAGTATGGTGCGCGTGCCGCATCCGCTAATCTGATTGTCCTTTCAAACCAGGTGGTGGTTGGCAGCCGCATCATTCCGTATCGCTAGAAAGCCAGATTTACCGAATGAAAACGCGCTACATAGATATCCACCCCGAGTTGCCGCACAGAACCGTAGGGAAAACCAAGGAAGTGAACTGGGGTGGGGAAACAGTGAGGAACAAGGGAAAGTCGACAAGAGCTGTGAGTCCTGATGATCAGTCCAGTGCCCCAGTGGGCCACCAAGCAACGTGAGAATACAGTACACCAACTTTCCAAGGCGCTTGTACGACTCAATCACCATGTCTGTACGCGTTCTGTATGTGTTCTCCTGAACGTTTTGCCCTCGCATTGAAGGAGAAAATGGGTAAATAATTTTCAACATTGTAAATTTCTGCCTTCCTAATGTGTTTCCCCACAATTTTGCAAACACGTCTCGCTAATCATCCGCAACATGACTCAAACGCGTATCAGTTGTAGGAAACAGGGGTGTTTGTGGAAGTCTAGCACCCACCTTGCACACCTCTAGAGAATGACGGGGATGTGATGACGAGACGAGCCCAGCCAACCAACCCGTCAGCTCAGCTGAAGTCAACGATCAGCACCCAGAAACACTCTCGAGGCAGATTGATAGCTGAGCTGATCCCCCATCAATACTTTCACACAAGCACGTACGAACGTCGTAAGAACAAGGGCGCATTACGCGGCCTTGTCCGCCCGAGTGAAGTGGCTGTACCGTTGCTCTGTTGCTGGCAGGATTAAGTTATCTTCAGCTGCTGATTCCGTTTTTAGTTTGTCTGCACTGAAGCTGTCGAAGCTGCATTGAAAAGCAGCTAGGGGGTAGTACTACAGCTGCTGAACGCGTACTTATCGATGCCATCACCGGACCTCAAACATACAAATTTTCCCGCTCTTAGCGACTCGAGGTAGCAGCCTGCTGGTTGCATCAGCCCTAGTAGGGTTCGATTAAGGGGTTCCTCACTAAGCGTCGTCAATTCAATCGCCACTCAAGCCATTCAAGCCTCATCAAAGCGCAGGCCATGTCTTCTAGGGTACAACCGCTTCCGTGACCTAATTTTGGCATTCGCTTCGTAAAATGCGCGACATTCACGCAATGTGTCTTGACGGGCAATGCCGTTTCTTGCGAGATAAGGAAACGCGAATTATGATGTGAAATAGTAGCACGTTTCGGGTTACCACTAGATCAAGTAGCTCAATGTATTATTCCGCTACGTTACGATCGCAGCAGTGTTACGTTTTCAGTTACATCTGACGTGCTTCTTCTATTTTCGCTGCATCCCGTCTCATGTCCCAGGGAGGCCTTCGGGCGTGTCGAGTGACTGTAAAGGTGGTGGCTATAAAGGACGTGGGTTCGCTGAGTAACCCCGTGGTTCAAGTCGCCGTGGAAGACAGCTACTTTCGAACTTCAGACGTACGTAGTAACGCCACGCGCCGCTCCCCTCCGCGCAGCACCGCACGCTTCCTTGATATTTTTTTCGTTTCGCTGCATTCTACAGTTCTTTCCATGTCCGACATTTCAGATAAAAAAAGAGATATATTAAGAGTTCGACAAGTTGATATTCTGGTTGAAGTGTCATTTTTTTTTCCCGCACTTGGTTGTCCTTCTTATCAATGTCCTGGGCAGCGTCTGCTTTCGTTCGCATTATCAGCATTTGCGAATTTAATGTATAAGCGTTCTCATTGCTGTCTCGGTTGGTGAATTCAGGTGCAGGAGAAGACAGATGAGGGTTTGATCACATTCGACCAAGGCCACTCGTTCGACGTCAAGGATGAAAACGTAACTTCTCTGCCCTTTCGTTTACCTCGCGTTCATCTCGTTAACGCATTCGCTTACTCCTTCGTTCACTTCTCGCTCTTCCCCTCTTCCCTTTCCTCCGTTCCTCCCTTCGACCACCCCTTCTCCCCCGTCTCCCTCCTCCCCAGCTCCCTCCTTTCATTCTCCCTCCTCTCCTCCCCCCGCGCTCATCTCCCTGTCTCCTTCCCCCATTCGTCCCCGCAGTCCATTCCGCCTCGCCCATTTTCCCCTGGCTTCCCCACACATTTTTTATGTTTTTACCTTCTTTCCCTCCATCCGTCATCCATTCTCCTCTCCCCCCACCACCACCCCCCGCCCTTCCCCTCGCGCTCCCCCCTCTTCTCTTCCCTCCCGCCTTCCCTCTGCGCTCACCATTTCCCCCCTGTCTGCATCCGCGCAGTCGGCGGAGGTGCGTAAAATGCTGGGCTCTATTCCCCCCAACCCCCCCTCCCCCACCCCTACCCCGCCGTCCTGTTCCCCTTCCCCCTTCCGCACACTGCTTCCCCCTGTCTGCATCCGCGCAGTCGGCGGAGGTGCGTGTGGCGGTGGCGGGGAAGACGGCCATGGGCATGCGCAAGGTGCTGGGGTCCATTCCTCCCATCCTCCCCTCCCCACCCCTCCCATCCTCTCTCCACCCCACACATTCCTCCCACCCCCCTCTCCCCCACTCCTTCCCCCCGTGCTCTTCCCTCCCCTCACCCTCCGCCCCCCCCCCTGCGCTCACTGCTTGCCCCCTGTGTGTATCCGCGCAGTCGGCGGAGGTGCGCGTGGCGGTGGCGGGGAAGACGGCCATGGGCATGCGCAAGGTGCTGGGGTCCATCAAGGCGCTGCGCGTGTGCGACCTGCTGGAAACAGATCCGGGTGAGTGAAAGGTAGAGCCGTGTGGGCGTGTGGGCGTGTGGGCGTGTGGGCGTGTCGGCATGTGGGAAAGACGGCCATGGGCATGCGCAAGGTGCTGGGGTCCATCAATCCGCTGCGCGTGTGTGACCTGCTCGAAACCCACCTGGGTATGTGAAGGGTAGAGTTCTACAACCCGTGCCGGCGTGTGGGCGCAAGGTGCTGGGGTCCATCAATCCGCTGCGCGTGTGTGACCTGCTCGAAACCCACCTGGGTGAGGGAGGGAGGGAGTGAGTGAGTGAGTGAGTGAGGTAGTGGCTGAGGAGGAGTGAGTGAGAGTGAGTGAACGAGCGAGTGAGTGAGCTAGGAAGTGATTGAGGCCGAGTGCTCACGGGGAGATGGAAAGGGAATGCATGCAAGCAAGCAAAAGGCACGGGGTGCAGACGGGCATGAGCATGATTGGTACGAGATCGTGGTCGACAGGGGGGGCGTCCGGATCTCTCTCTAACTAGCTTTCCAACCTCTTCTTCCCAATTCGGCCATCTTTCTCTCTCCACTCCACCCTCTATCTGCAGACCGCACCGTGCTCTGCAGCCTGAGTGGTACGAGATCGTGGTCAACAAGGGGGAAAGATCTTTCAACCACCCTTCAGCTTTCCAACATCTCTGCCAAACTGAATGTTGAGGCATCGCAAAACTTTTGAGACGTGTCAGTCAATCAAACCTCTCTGCCGAACCGGGTCCCTTCGTTTTTCCACTCTTCCCTCTGCAGACCGACACTGGAGCCTGAGTGGTACGAGGTGACGAGGTCGTGGCTAAGGAGGGGGTGATACTTCGGTCTTCCTCTGGCTTTCCAACCTGTTTCCCAACCTCTCCACTCTTTGTTCTCTTCTTCACCCCTCTCTTCCCTCTGCAGACCGCACACTGGAGCCTGAGTGGTACGAGATTGTGGCCAAGGAGGGGAAGAAGTCGTCTGTAGGGAAGGTGAGAGCGAGAGGGAGGGAGGTGAGAGGGAGAGGGAGGTGAGAGCGAGGGGGGTATGAAGATGAGAGGCTGAAGGGGGGAAAGCAGGACGACAACTGTAGGGAAGGTGAGAGGGAGAGGGAGTTGGTAGAAAAAGGGAGTGTGGGAAAGAATGCAAAAGGGTGAGAGGTGGGGGAAAGCAGAAAGTAAGTGTGTAAGAGAGAGAGAGGGAGGGAGCATCTTATAGTTCCATTCTACTGCACAAGGAGCTTACATGCATCTTCTCTCCGAGTGCCCAGCACCCCGATGCTCCCCTCCCTCTTCTGCCTGCCTTCCCTCCTGCGCTGTACTTCCTTCTCCCTCTCTCTCTTCGCCCTCTCTTCCTTCTTCCTCTCTTGCCCTGTGCTGCTGTGTGGTGGCAGCACGAGCCCCTCCAGAGCAACTTTTCTTAGTCGACTCAACCTCCCCCCCTCCTGCAGGTGCTGCTGCACGTGGTGGCAGCGCGTGCGCCCCCACAGCAGCCCATCAAGCCTATGGTCTGATGAGTCTGAGGCATTCAAATGCTGCAAGTGAACTCTTGCCCATCTCCCCTCCTCCCTGCCTGCCCTGTACCCTCCTGCAGGTGCTGCTGCACGTGGTGGCAGCGCGTGCTCCCCCACAGCAGCCCATCAAGCTATTCATCGGATCCTGGAACGTCGGCAATGCACCCCCGGTAAGGACCCCCTTCTCATGTGTGTGCATGTGCATGTGCATGTGCATGTGCATGCGCATATGATGTGATGTGACTGTGTGCATGTGCATGTATGCGTCCACATGCATGTGCGTGTGCGTGACTGCATCTTGCATGCGTGCATACATGCGCATCCGCCCCATGCCCCACGCCATGCCCCATGCCGCATGCCCGATGCCCCATGCTCGATGCCCCATGCCCGATGCCCCGTGCCCCGTGCCCCGTGCCCCATGCCCCGCGCCATGCCCCATGCCCCGTGCCCCACGCCCCACACCCCATGCCATGCCCCACGCACCATGCTCCATGCCACGCACCATGCCCCATGCACCATGCCATGCCCCACGCACCATGCCCCATGCCATGCCCCATGCCCCATGCACCATGCCATGCCCCACGCACCATGCCCCATGCCATGCCCCGTGCCCCATGCACCATGCCATGCCCCACGCACCATGCTCCATGCCATGCCCCATGCCCCATGCACCATGCCATGCCCCACGCACCATGCCCCATGCCATGCCCCATGCCCCATGCACCATGCCATGCCCCACGCCCCATGCCCCATGCCATGCCCCATGCCATGCCCCACGCCCACGCCCCATACCCCATACAGCCTGACGACTTCTCCCCCTGGCTGCCCAAGGGCACGGACCACGAGCTCATTGCCATCGGCTCGCAGGTCAGTCAGTCCTCTATTCTCCCATCGTTTCGAATATAGACCACACCCAACCTGCTTTCTGCCTGAACATTAGCACCCGGCTGGTTCTGTGGAATTCCACTGCCCTGCCTGCCTGCCCCATCCCGCTCCCCCTGGCTCCCCAAGGGCACGGACCACTATTTTATCGCCATCGGCTCTCAGGTCAGTCCAATGTAACCATTGAACTATTGCATGTAAAAAAAACAACTATGTGCTATTTTTTCCCTGGCTCCCGAAGTGCCTGGTCCATATACTCATCAACATTGGCTTTAAACACGTCTCAAAACTTGACATATGAGTGAGACGTCTCTAAATTTCTCCCTGGCTTTATACGCACACGGACCATATGTCGCACGCATTCGTGTTCGACTGTTTGCTGCTTCCTGCTCTATCCGTAGCTCTCATGTAACAATTCATTCCCCACCTTTTCCCCACGCATTCGTGTCGAGTGTTTGCTGCTTCCTGCTTCCTCTCCACTCCACCTCCTCACCTTGCTGCTTGGCTTGGCTTGGCTTTGTCAATGCCCCATACGCTGCTCTATCTCCCCCCTCCCTCCCAACCAGGAATGCGACTATCAGAGGCGGCTTCTGCATTTGATTAGAAAGTATCCCTGATGCCATATCTTCTCTCCCCCTCCCCAACCAGGAGTGCGAGTATCAGCCTCGATCAGGCTATGCCACCTGCATGGAGGACTGGGTTGCTGCATTGTTAACTCACCAGTGGCACTCATGCATTGATTGCACCCTTTTTCCCCCGTTTCACCTGTCACCTCCACTTTTCACCTGTCACCTCCACTTTTCACCTGTCACCTCCACTTTTCACCTGTCACCTCCACTTTTCACCTGTCACCTCCACTTTTCACCTGTCACCTCCACTTTTCACCTGTCACCTCCACTCCACAGGAGTGCGAGTACCAGCCTCGTTCAGGCTATGCCACGTGCATGGAAGACTGGGTCGCTGCTATTAAGTAAGTGCCAGTCTAGATATTGTAAATGCCAATTGCGTATTTTGTCTAGCCACCCCTTCAACAGTCTCACTTGTGTTTTATCAATCCCTCGCTTCCTCACTCCCTCGTTTTCTCGCGCTCAATTCTTTCCTCACACACTCCTTTTCTCACTCCCTCGTTTTCTCACGCTCACTCCCCTTCTCGCGCCCCCATTGCCATGCAGAGCGCACTTTGCCCCGCACTACAAGGTGGTGAAGGGCACCACGCGTGGCCAGATGCATATTGGGATCACTTCTGAGCATTCTCTAAAGTCACCCACTCCGTCTCTCACACCCTCGTTGCCCTGCAGACCACACTTCGCCCCGCACTACAAGGTGGTGAAGGGAACACCACACGTGGCCAGATGCGACTCGTGTGAAACGCGACGACTTCTGAGGCGCCTCAAAACTTCTCACAAACACTCCGCTTCTCACACACTCCTCCTCTCACGCCCTCGTTGCCCTGCAGAGCGCACTTTGCCCCGCACTACAAGGTGGTCAAGGGCACAACGCGTGGCCAGATGCGACTGGTGGTGCTGGTCCTGGAAACTTCACAGGTGCGATCATTACTCATGCTGCTGCTGCTGCTGCTGCTGCTAGTCGCGGCGGTGGCGGTGGTGGTGGTGCTGCTGCTGTTGCTGCTGCTGGTCCCAGCTCAGCTCTTGCTCATGCCCACCTACTTTCACTGCCCTGACCCATTTCCCCTCGACTTTGCCCCCACTGCTTCCCCTCCCCACCCCACTATCTCCCTCTCTCTTCTCCTCCGTGCCGCATGTGTGGGCAGCAGAGAGCCACCACTCACGTGTTAGCCACAAGCAAGCCACAGCCTCTCCCTTCTCCCTCTCCTTCATCTCTCTCCTTCCCATCCGCTCCCCACCCTCTTCTTCCCCTCAGAAAGCCATCACTGATGTTACAGCCACAAGCGAGGCTACTGGTATCGGCCATGTGATTGCCAACAAGGGAGCTGTCAGCGTGTCGCTCAAGGTACGCTCTCTAAGGCGTCTCATGATATAAGTGAATTCTTTAGACGTCTCAAAAAGTATCGGCCACGTGATTGCCAACAAGGGTGCCGTCAGCGTCTCCCTCAAGGTGCGCTCTCTAAGGAATCTCGAACGCCATGCTCCTCCCTCAAGGCACGCTCTTCCCTCCACTCCTCGCTCTCTAAGGCATCTCGAACGCCATGCTCCTCCCTCAAGGCACGCTCTTCCCTCCACTCCTCGCTCTCTAAGGCATCTCGAACGCCATGATCCTCCCTCAAGGCACGCTCTTCCCTCCACTCCTTGCTCTCTAAGGCATCTCGAACGCCATGCTCCTCCCTCAAGGCACGCTCTTCCCTCCACTCCTCGCTCTCTAAGGCATCTCGAACGCCATGCTCCTCCCTCAAGGCACGCTCTTCCCTCCACTCCTCGCTCTCTAAGGCATCTCGAACGCCATGCTCCTCCCTCAAGGCACGCTCTTCCCTCCACTCCTCGCTCTCTAAGGCATCTCGAACGCCATGCTCCTCCCTCAAGGCACGCTCTTCCCTCCACTCCTCGCTCTCTAAGATGACTCAAGCGCCCCTCCCTTAAGACGACTCAAGCGCCCCTCCCTTAAGACGACTCAAACGCCCCTCCCTTAAGACGACTCAAACGCCCATCCCTTAAGACGACTCAAACGCCCCTCCCTTAAGACGACTCAAACGCCCCTCCCTTAAGACGACTCAAACGCCCCTCCCTTAAGACGACTCAAACGCCCCTCCCTTAAGACGACTCAAACGCCCCTCCCTTAAGACGACTCAAACGCCCCTCCCTTAAGACGACTCAAACGCCCCTCCCTTAAGACGACTCAAACGCCCCTCCCTTAAGACGACTCAAACGCCCCTCCCTTAAGACGACTCAAACGCCCATCCCTTAAGACGACTCGAACGCCCCTCCCTTAAGACGACTCAAACGCCCCTCCCTTAAGACGACTCAAACGCCCCTCCCTTAAGACGACTCAAACGCCCCTCCCTTAAGACGACTCAAACGCCCCTCCCTTAAGACGACTCAAACGCCCCTCCCTTAAGACGACTCAAACGCCCCTCCCTTAAGACGACTCAAACGCCCCTCCCTTAAGACGTCTCAAACGCCCCTCCCTTAAGACGACTCAAACGCCCCTCCCTTAAGACGACTCAAACGCCCCTCCCTTAAGACGACTCAAACGCCCCTCCCTTAAGACGTCTCAAACGCCCCTCCCTTAAGACGTCTCAAACGCCCCTCTCTTAACGTATGCTCCTCCCTCCTTTCCACGCTTCTCCCCGACTCAGTCAAACATATTCGATCCCTGTTCGTTCGCCTTCCTTCCTTCCTTCCTTCCTTCCTTCCTTCCTTCCTTCCTTCCTTCCTTCCTTCCTTCCTTCCTTCCTTCCTTCCTTCCTTCCTTCCTTCCTTCCTTCCTTCCTTCCTTCCTTCCTTCCTTCCTTCCTTCCTTCCTTCCTTCCGTCCTTCCGTCCTTCCTTCCTTCCTTCCTTCCTTCCTTCCTTCCTTCCTTCCTTCCTTCCTTCCTTCCTTCCTTCCTTCCTTCCTTCCTTCCTTCCTTCCTTCCTTCCGTCCTTCCTTCCTTCCTTCCTTCCTTCCTTCCTTCCTTCCTTCCTTCCTTCCTTCCTTCCTTCCTTCCTTCCTTCCTTCCTTCCTTCCTTCCTTCCTCTCCTTCTGCTTCGTCAGCTCACACCTGGCATGGCAGCACACTAGTTCCCCCTCCTCTCGTCTTTTCACCATGTCGCGCACTTCCCTTCCCGGCCTCCCCCTTCACTCCTTCTCCCCTCGTTCCGCCTCCCTCCTTCACCATTCAGTTCTGGGACACGTCCTTCTGCTTCGTCAACTCACGCCTGGCCGGGCAGGGCAGCACCAGATTCACTATTATCTCGCCTCATCCCATCTTCCTTCCCTTCTCCCCTCGTTCCGGGCCCCTCCCTCCTTCACCATTCAGTTCTGGGACACGTTCTTCTGCTTCGTCAACTCGCACCTAGCAGCACACAAGTTCCCCCTCCTCTTGTCTATTCACCATGTCTTCCCCTCAACAGCCCTAACCCTTCTCGCCTCTCCCATCACTCATTCATCCCTTCCCCGCTCGCCCACCATTCAGTTCTGGGACACGTCCTTCTGCTTCATCAACTCACGCCTGGCCGGGCAGGGCAGCACCAGATTCACTATCATCTCACCTCATCCCATCTCATCTCCCTTCTCCCCTCGTTCCGGGCCCCTCCCTCCTTCACCATTCAGTTCTGGGACACCTCCTTCTGCTTCGTCAACTCGCACCTGGCAGCACACGAGGGGCACTGCATGACTCGCAACGACAACTACCGGGGTGAGAAAATCAGGGGTGACATATATGTATATATATAAATAATGTGTGTGTGTGTGTGTGTGTGTGTGTGTGTGTGTGTGTGTGTGTGTGTGTGTGTGTGTGTGTGTGTGTGTGTGTGTGAGAGAGACGTCTCAAAAGCTGCAGGGATTTGTTTGGTAACTTTTGAGTCGACTCAAAGGTCTTCGGTACAGGTCATGGGAAGGCATAAATTTCCATCGTCCCTCACTCTCACCCTCACTCATGCTTCCTATTTCTCTCCCCCCACCCCCCCACCAGAGGTCATGCGCAACATGCATCCGGGCCTCTCCAGCATCGACCTCCTCTCGCAATTCCGCTTAAGACACTCTCATCACGTGTCAACCTATCTCCTTCCCGATTTCCCCCTATCTCTCCCCCCCCCAACCAGAGGTCATGCGTAACATGCATCCAGACCTCTCCAGCATCGACCTCCTCTCGCAGTTCCACCACGTCTTCCGGATGGGCGATCTCACCTACCCTCCCTCTCACCCTTTCTCGCACGACCCTTGGGTTGAGTGCACGGATTGGTACAGGCAGGCAAACGGTCATCGGAAACCCCACTTTCTTTGTCTCTCACTCACTCTCACCCTCACTCATACTCTCTATGTTTCCCCCCCTCTCCTCCCCCCCCACCCCCCCCACCCTCCAGAGGTGATGCGCAACATGCATCCAGGTCTCTCCAGCATCGACCTCCTCTCGCAATTCCACCACGTCTTCTGGATGGGCGATCTCAACTACCGCCTCGCCTTCCCGGAAACTTCCCTCCCGGGCCTAGGCGGGGCCGGGGACGGCGACGACGACAGCTCCGGGGACGAAGACAGCAGCTCCGGAAACGGGCTCGGGAATGGGAACGGGGACGGGGGTGCGGCGGTTGCCAGCAGCGGGAGTGGGGGCAAGAGCGGGAGAGGGGCGATGATGCAGCGGGCGATAACGATGAGTGGGAGCGGCGGGTCGTCGCGGAGTGGCGGGTCGAGGAAGCTGAATGAGTCGGATAGGAAACTGATGTCCATGGGGAGTAGCAAGGATAAGAAGGAGGCAGTGAAAGCAGTGTGAGTGGTGTTGGGGCGTGTGTGTGTGACTGTGACCATGTGTGTGTGCTTGTGACCGTGTGTGTGTGCGTGTGGGGGGAGTGGCGGGTCGCGGAAGCTGAATGAGTCGGATAGGAAACTGATGTCCATGGGGAGTAGCAAGGATAAGAAGGAGGCAGTGAAAGCAGTGTGAGTGGTGTTGGGGCGTGTGTGTGTGACCGTGACCGTGTGTGTGTGCTTGTGACCGTGTGTGTGTGGGGAGTGGCGGGTCGTCGCGGAGTGGCGGGTCGCGGAAGCTGAATGAGTCGGATAGGAAACTGATGTCGATGGGGAGCAGCAAGGATAAGAAGGAGGCGGTTAAAGCAGTGTGAGTGGCATTGGGGCGTGCGTGTGTGCCTGTGACCGTGTGTGTGTGCCTGTGACCGTGTGTGTGTGCGTGTGGGGGGAGTGGCGGGTCGCGGAAGCTGAATCAGTCGGACAGGAAACTGATGTCGATGGGGAGCAGCAAGGATAAGAAGGAGGCGGTCAAAGCAGTGTGAGTGGTGTTGTGTGCGTGCGTGCGCGTGCGTGCATGCGTGCGTGCGTGCGTGCGTGCGTGCTTGCGCGTGCGTGCGTGCGTGTCTGCGCATGCGTGCGTGTGCGTGCGGGAGTGCGTGCGTGTGCGCGTGCGTGCGTGCGTGCGTGCGTGTTAGCGTGTGAGCATGTGTGTGTGTTCGCTCACCCATCCGTCTCTCCACCTTTTCATCTCTTCCAGAAATCTCCAGGCGCTACAGAGGAAGTTCTTTTTTCCTTCCCCCCCCCCAGTCGCATGGCACTGCATCGCAGCATTCTAGATAAAATAGATCAAGGCAACTTTGCAGACCTGCTCCAACATGACGATGTGTGAATCTGACCGTCACATTGCAACTCCCCACCCCTTCCCCCCCCCGAAACACACACCAGTCGCATGGCGATGCATCGCAGCATTCTAGAGAAGATAGATCAAGGCAACTTTGCAGACCTGCTGCAGCATGACGAGGTCAGTCAGGTTGCTGTTGAGTCGATTCCAAACTCACCTCCTTACTGCATCGCAGCATACTGTAACTGGAGAAGATAGATCAAGGCAACTTCGCAGATCTGCTCCAACATGACGAGGTCGGGTTGCTCTCATGCCTGCAAACCTCTTGAAGTTATAACATGGAGTTTCAGGAAGGAAAAACTTGAAGAGTGTGTGTGTGTGTGTGAGAGTTTTGTTTTGTTTTTGTTTTTGTTTTTGTTGTTTTTTTTGTTTTGTTTTTTTTTTGTTTTTGTTTTTGTTTTTTTCCTTCTCTTTTTCTTCCTTGCCCACTAAATCTAAAGTCTATCTGTCCGTTTTTCCAGACGCCGGTAAGCTAGACTCTTCTTTCTTTCCCCAACCCTTGTTTCCTCTTGACTCCTGTGTGCAAACTCAGAAGGAAGTACGTACGTACTCCTCCTTGCCTGATCTTTTCTGCTCACTCACTCACACCCAATCAGCTTCAATGGGAGATCCGGGAAGGCCGGTCGCTCTACAAGTTCTGTGAAATCTAGTTTTGGGGCGGCTCATAAATATTCTCTCCTCCTTCCAACCCCGTTCCTTGCTTCCTTTGAGCAGCTTCAACGGGAGATCCGGGAAGGCCGGTCGTTCTACAAGTTCTGTGAAGCGCCCATCGCTTTTGCTCCCACGTTCAAAGTGAGCTCTCTCTCTCTCTCTCTCTCTCTCTCTCTCTCTCTCTCTCTCTCTCTCTCTCTCTCTCTCTCTCTCTCTCTCTCTCTCTCTCTCTCTCCCCTTTCACTTCCATTCGTAAATAAGCAACTGCGCAAAACAAGCAAGATATGATTGGAATCTCCTGCCAGTCGGTATGCTTCCTGTCCTACAGGACGAACGGAAAGCCCAGCAGCACCTAGCGCCTGCCTATTTCTGCTGGTCACACGCGTTTGCCTTGTGTGCTTGAACGTACCCTCGCTCTCCCTTCACTTCCCCGCCATAGGACGAGCTGCCCTGCGGCAGTGCAAAGCACACTCTCAGTGTGTGTGCCTGAACTGAATAAAATGCATCGTCCCTTCATCTAACTAACCCCACCAGCACCAGGTGCCAAGGGACGAGTTGCAGCAATACAGCCCCAAGCGCCTGCCTGCTTCCCGTGCCGTACACTCTATTCTTCCCGCATTGTGTGCCAAACCAAATTTAACCACCCCCTTTATCCCCCCACCAGGTGCTAAGGGACGAGCTACAGCAGTACAGCCCCAAGCGTCTGCCTGCTTCCAGCAGTCACACTCATACAACTGAATGTGTTTGTGGGCAGTGGATATGCGCACAAAATGCATTTCTCCCACATCCCCCCATCCCTCCCTCAGGTCCTAAGGGACGAGCTACAGCAGTACAACCCCAAGCGCCTGCCTGCATGGTGCGACCGGGTGCTGTGGCGGTCGCTACCCGGCTGCAATCTCACCTGCACCAGATACACCTCCGCGCCCACCGTCCTCACCGGGTAGGCTGGTTCTGCAATGCCCCAACCAAAGCCATCATCAATCAATCAATGTGCAGGCTGCTGGTTTCCAGGTGGTAGCAGGCGTCGATGGGGTTTGTCTCGTTGTCCTAAAACAGCACGAGTTGATGGAAATAAGGCCTCCGCGGCCCACCTGTCCACTCTTAACAGCTCCAACCAAATCAATGTGCAGGCTGCTGGTTTCCAGGTGGTAGCAGGCGTCCTCAGCACCACAGCACAGCTTACCTTTGCCTGGCAGCAATCTCACCTGCACCAGATACACCTCCGCGCCCACCATCCTCACCGGGTAGGCTGTTGCTTAGGCGTCCCATTGCCAGCAATAAGTGAGGGGGTAGGTCATCTACCTAGGGAATGCACACAGCCCGAACAAGCCCACAAGCCCGTGCTGGCTGAGTTTGTCATCACCTGTATTGGTGTTACTTCTGAGAATTCTTAAAAGTAACACCGTCCTGGCGGAGTTTGACATCACCACGTACGCCCTTCCAGTGACCATGGGCCCCTCAGAGGATGCCGTGCAGTTGCCATGAATGGAAGAGGCATGCTGTTGCAGCTGTCGAGCTGAGCTTAGGGCATTAACCCTCTCACTCTCCCCCTCCCTGTCCCTCTAGCATCATTGCTTCACCCCCTGCAGCGATCACAAGCCCGTCCTGGCGGAGTTTGGCATCACCACATTCGCCCTCCCAGTGACCATGGATCCCTCAGAGGACGCCGTGCAGCTGAGTCTAAAGGCATCAACCCTCTCTCTATCTCTCTCTGACGACATCACCCCCTTGGTTTGCCACACAGCGACCACAAGCCCGTCCTGGCGGAGTTTGGCATCACCACATTCGCCCTCCCAGTGACCATGGATCCCTCAGAGGACGCCGTGCAGCTGAGTCTAAAGGCATCAACCCTCTATCTCTCTCTGACGACATCACCCCCTTGGTTTGCCACACAGCGACCACAATCCCGTCCTGGCGGAGTTTGGCATCACCACATTCGCCCTCCCAGTGACCATGGATCCCTCAGAGGACGCCGTGCAGCTGAGTCTAAAGGCATCAACCCTCTCTCTGTCTCTCTCTGACGACATCACCCCCTTGGTTTGCCACACAGCGACCACAAGCCCGTCCTGGCGGAGTTTGGCATCACCACATTCGCCCTCCCAGTGACCATGGATCCCTCAGAGGACGCCGTGCAGCTGAGTCTAAAGGCATCAACCCTCTCTCTATCTCTCTCTGACGACATCACCCCCTTGGTTTGCCACACAGCGACCACAAGCCCGTCCTGGCGGAGTTTGGCATCACCACATTCGCCCTGCCAGTAACCATGGACCCCTCAGAGGAGGCCGTTCAGCTGCTGCAGCTGAGCAAGGGGCACAGCGATAAGGATGACATGCGCTGGCACCTGCATGTGAGTCATGCATGGTTGCGTTGCATGTGAGTCATGCATGGTTGCGTTGCATGTGAGTCATGCGTGGTTGCATTGCATGTGAGTCATGCATGGTTGCATTGCCTGTCATGCATGGTTGCATTGCCTGTCATGCATGGTTGCATTGCCTGTCATGCATGCTTGCATGGTTGCATTGCATGTCATGCATGGTTGCATTGCATGTCATGCATGGTTGCATTGCATGTCATGCATGGTTGCATTGCATGTCATGCATGGTTGCTTTGCATGTCATGCATGGTTGCTTTGCATGTCATGGCGCCAACGCCTGTTCACACGGACTGACATGTCTCCCCACATCCCCCCCGTGCCGTGCCTCCATCGCCCCATATCCTCTCCACATCACCTCACCCATCAGATCACAGAGCTGAGGGGGCACAACCTCCTCCCAGCAGACGCCAACGGCTTGTCCCGTCCCACTAACTGACATGTGCCTGACTGCTTCTTCCTCTTCCCCCCCTCCCCATGCTTGCATCTCCCCATACCTCCCCGTCCCCGGCCCATCAGATCCTGGAACTCAGGGGGCACAACCTCCTCCCAGCAGACGCTAACGGCTTGTCTGACCCGTGAGTCACCTCTTTTCCTAAGCACCTTCTCGTCCCCTGAGGAATCCCCTGCACTCCCCTGCACCTTCCAGCACTCCTCTTCACCCATCTCCACTCCCCTGCACTACCCTGGTTTACCTCTCCATCTCATGCCCATCTTTCTCAAATTCAGTAATTCTTCCCCGCCCCTCCGCAAAGCCTTATTCCCCACCTCCCCCTTCCCCCCACGCCCTGCCCTCTCCCCCACCTCCTTCCCTCCCCACCATGCCCTGCCCTCTCCCCCACCCCCTTCCCTCCCCCCCACGCCCTGCCCTCTCCCCCACCCCCTCCCCTCCCTCCCCCTCCCCCCCCCCCCCCCGCGCCCTGCCCTGTCTTGCTGCTGCATCCATTTGATTTTTGGAAAATACCATATCCTTTGCTGTATATCAACCCCTGCTATGCCATCAGTCATCTTCGCTCTTCCACTCTCTGCCCTCTCTGCCCTTCCTTCTCTCTGCACACTTTTATCATATATCTCTCCTCACTCTCCACTCGCTTCACACCCATCACAGCTACATCCGTTTCGTGGGCCCCAACCACTTAAGTCCTTCCAGCCGAGAAGGAGAGCACACGATGCTTGTTCTCCCAGTGCTGTTCTCGTCAACACTCCCTCTCTCTCCACCCAACACACCCGTCACAGCTACATCCGCTTCGTGGGCCCCAACCTCTTCAAGTCCTTTCAGACCAAGAAGGAGGGCACATGATCCTCGTTCTCCCATTGCTGTTCTCGTCAGCACTTCCCCTCACTCTCAGTTCACTCCCCCCCCTCTCTCTCTCGCACACACACCCCTCACAGCTACATCCGGTTTGTGGGTCCCAACCTCTTCAAGTCCTTTCAGACCAAGAAGTGCTACAAGTCTCTCAACCCCGTGTGGGCCGCTGATGTGCCGTGCGGCTACCTCCCCCATTGCTTTCATTCTCTCTTTGCTCCCTGCTTTTATCCTCCCTCTCCACGCTTCTCTCCTCTCTCCCCCTCACGCACACACCCCTTTCAGCTACATCCGGTTTGTGGGTCCCAACCTCTTCAAGTCATTTCAGACCAAGAAGTGCTACAAGACACTCAACCCCGTGTGGGGTGCTGATGTGAGTGCTAAGTGTGTTGTGAGGGGTTGTGAGGGGTTGTGTCAGCAGCAGCTTCAATGCAAGCTATTCACCCACGCAGCTACAAGACACTCAACCCCGTGTGGGGTGCTGATGTGAGTGCTGGGAGGAGTGGTGGGAGTGCTGGGTGGTTTTGTGCTGGTTATTTTAGGGTAGGTGACGTTGCTGTTGCGTGCAGATAAAAAAGCTTGTAGCTGCTCCACTCAAGACGATTTCAACATCGCTTTCAGGTACGTTGTGAGCCTGGTTGTGAGGTTTGGTTACGAAGCTTGTTTGTGAGCCTTGGTAATCATGAGCCTCGGTTATACGATTCAATGGTTGTGAGACTTAGTTGAGCGTTGGACAAATGCACCCCACGCTCTGCCTACCTCCTCCCCTCTCTGTCCCAACCCCTCCTTTCTTCCATATGCCTTCCCACTGCTACAGGATGTACCTGCTATAGTGTTGGAGCACCAGTCACTGCATTACTATGAGAAGGACTATCTACTAGCAGCCGTGTTTGATTATGATAAGACTAACAAAGACGACCCCATAGGTATGTGGTCGTTCTGTCTATCCATGTTTGCTCATCTGAACCCGTTAGCAGCTGTATCCACTATAAGATGTAACCTCTACAATCCGTATCCACCATACGACGCTAGTCTGTCGTCAATCGCGTAGGCCATTATTCCATATCATAAGAAATAAATTCGAGGCTATGCGAAGCTAAAAGGCACAGCCACTGGTTTTCTTACTGATCCACCTCTATTGAATGCTCCCACCCCACCAGGATACGCTGCAATCCCATTGGCTGATCTTGTCAAGGCCACGTGGGAGCAGTCCTCTCAGCCAGTCAGCTTTCGGGTAGAGGTGACCTATAAGGGGCTGCCAGCTGGCGAGCTGGAGGGCACTTTCCGTCTTTTCTGGGCTGTGAACAAGCTGAGCGAGGGCAAGTGTGCGCAGATGTGATTGTGTTGACGGGAATGGGCGGTGGATGTGATTGTGTTGAGCGGAATGGGTGGCAGATATGATCGTGCTGAGGGGAATGGGCGGCAGATGTGATTGTGTTCAAGGGAGTGGGCGCAGGCGTGATTATGTTGAAGGGAACGGGCGACAGTTGTGATTGTACTGCAGGCAGGTGCAGAGGTTTGTGATTGATCCGCTCCAAGGGTGAGCAGCAGACGGGACTGTCTGATCTGAAGACATACGAGCAATGAGGTGTTGGTTGAGCTGCCAAGGCAAGCCCAAAGAGACATGCGACGGCAAATGGCACACTGTGGAGTGGACTCACCTCATCGCCTTGCTTATTGTGGATTTTGGGGGGAAACACGAGCAGTGGTGGTGGTGACAGCAGGGGTGGTGGCGCTATCTCAAAAGACAACTGTATAACTTCTGAGGCGTCACAAAAGCCGAGGTTGTGAGGGGGACAGCATACGGTAATGATTTGCAGCGTTTTCTTTCATGCAGGTGTAGGAGTTACAAGTATATTGTCTAAATGCTGTTACAGCTCGCTTTTTGGCTTTATGGTTTAGGCAGAGTACGGTATGCTAGGTATGACAATAGTAGTGTAACTAGGGATATAAATTATACATCTAGTAGCAAATTCTTCAGATGCAGATGCTAACATATGGTACATGCATACAGCCATACAACCATGTATGGTTCCCATGTAACCATATGGCCCAGTAATCATGTGGCCGTGTAACCATTCGGTGCAATTGGTTATGTGTTTGTAAGTCATGCAGGCATTGAGGCATCTGGATATGTAACCAAAGCAACCAGTGTGCTCCTAGGGCAGCAGCAGGCATGATGGCCATGTAACCATGTGATGTGATCATGCAGGCAGCAACAATGCAGGTATGTAAGAATGCAGGCAGCAACTACGCAGGCATGTAAAAATGCAGGCAGGAACAATGCATACCATACATGTAAACCATGCAGCCATTTGACCATGGAAGCATGTACCCATGTGGCCCATGCAACCCATCCGATGCAGCCAGTATGCCCTGAGCAGCAGCAGGTATGCACACGTGTAGGCATGTGGCTATGTGGTCATGCGAGTCACGACCGATGTGTGCTATCTCCTAAGGCAGCATCAGGCATGCACACATGAAGGCATGTGTCTATGTGGTCATGTGGCCAATGCAGCCCATGCGAGTCACGACCGCTGTGTGCTATCTCCTAAGGCAGCATCAGGCATGCACACATGAAGGCATGTGTCTATGTGGTCATGTGGCCAATGCAGCCCATGCGAGTCACGACCGCTGTGTGCTATCTCCTAAGGCAGCATCAGGCATGCACACATGAAGGCATGTGTCTATGTGGTCATGTGGCCGATGCAGCCCATGCGAGTCACGCCCAATGTGTGCTCCTAAGGCAGCAGCAGGCACTGGCCCGAGTAGATCTTGTTCACGTCGCACACCTGATGGCACACGGGAGAAATATACAGCAGCTTAGCAAGACAGAGCAAATTGCAACCAGACGAAGTTACAAAAACAGGTTGCGCCACAACCACACGACGTGCACCTCATGAGGCAAACACCACTCTTCCTGTCTCAAAAGCCAAGCCATGCCATGCCATGTGTTTTGAGACGACTCAAAAGTGATCTAGCACCACAACCACATGACGACACGCACCTCATGAGGCAAGCAAGCACCTCATGAGGCAAGCAAGCACCTCATGAGGCAAGCAAGCACCTCATGAGGCAAGCAAGCACCTCATGAGGCAAGCAAGCACCTCATGAGGCAAGCAAGCACCTCATGAGGCAAGCAAGCACCTCATGAGGCAAGCAAGCACCTCATGAGGCAAGCAAGCACCTCATGAGGCAAGCAAGCACCTCATGAGGCAAGCAAGCACATCATGAGGCAAGCAAGCACCTCATGAGGCAAGCAAGCATCTCATGAGGCAAGCAAGCACCTCATGAGGCAAGCAAGCACCTCATGAGGCAAGCAAGCACCTCATGAGGCAAGCAAGCACCTCATGAGGCAAGCAAGCACCTCATGAGGCAAGCAAGCACCTCATGAGGCAAGCAAGCACCTCATGAGGCAAGCAAGCACCTCATGAGGCAAGCAAGCACCTCATGGGGCAAGCAAGCACCTCATGAGGCAAGCAAGCACCTCATGAGGCAAGCAAGCACCTCATGAGGCAAGCAAGCACCTCATGAGGCAAGCAAGCACCTCATGAGGCAAGCAAGCACCTCATGAGGCAAGCAAGCACCTCATGAGGCAAGCAAGCACCTCATGAGGCAAGCAAGCACCTCATGAGGCAAGCAAGCACCTCATGAGGCAAGCAAGCACCTCATGAGGCAAGCAAGCACCTCATGAGGCAAGCAAGCACCTCATGAGGCAAGCAAGCACCTCATGAGGCAAGCAAGCACCTCATGAGGCAAGCAAGCACCTCATGAGGCAAGCAAGCACCTCATGAGGCAAGCAAGCACCTCATGAGGCAAGCAAGCACCTCATGAGGCAAGCAAGCACCTCATGAGGCAAGCAAGCACCTCATGAGGCAAGCAAGCACCTCATGAGGCAAGCAAGCACCTCATGAGGCAAGCAAGCACCTCATGAGGCAAGCAAGCACCTCATGAGGCAAGCAAGCACCTCATGAGGCAAGCAAGCACCTCATGAGGCAAGCAAGCACCTCATGAGGCAAGCAAGCACCTCATGAGGCAAGCAAGCACCTCATGAGGCAAAGCAAGCACCTCATGAGGCAAGCAAGCACCTCATGAGGCAAGCAAGCACCTCATGAGGCAAGCAAGCACCTCATGAGGCAAGCAAGCACCTCATGAGGCAAGCGAGCACCTCATGAGGCAAGCAAGCACCTCATGAGGCAAGCACGCACCTCATGAGGCAAGCAAGCACCTCATGAGGCAAGCAAGCACCTCATGAGGCAAGCAAGCACCTCATGAGGCAAGCAAGCACCTCATGAGGCAAGCAAGCACCTCATGAGGCAAGCAAGCACCTCATGAGGCAAGCACCTCTCTTCCGATCTCAAAGGCTGTGGCATGGATCCCATCTTGATATTTAGCTTGAAAGCTTTCAAAAATCACAAAAGTACAGCCTTTCTGTAAGCCATCAAGCCGTGCAATCAAAGCCATCAAGCCATCAGCGTCCTTAAAGCCATGACATGGAATATGTGGGTCTCACCATGAGCACTATGTGGTCTCTCTCACCTCGAAGTTGTGACGTGAATTGAATCTCACCTCGGGATTGCACAAGCCACAACCCCATGGCCCGGCAGCAACACGAGCACCATGGCTTCTATCTCAAGGCCGAGACGTGCATCTCACCTGGGGGTTCAGTCCGGAGCAGTCGGAGTTGGGATGGCACAAGGTGTGCGCAAAGACATGGCATGCCCTCAGAGCAGCATGAGCACCATGGTCTCTATCTCAAGGCCATGACGTGCCACTCACCTCGGGGTTGCGTTTGAAAAACTCGGAGTTGGAATGGCACAAGGTGTGCGCAAAGACATGGCATGCCCTCAGAGCAGCATGAGCACCATGGTCTCTATCTCAAGGCCATGACGTGCCACTCGCCTCGGGGTTGCGTTTGAAAAACTCGGAGTTGGGATGGCACAAGGTGTGCGCAAAGACATGGCATGCCCTCAGAGCAGCATGAGCACCATGGTCTCTATCTCAAGGCCATGACGTGCCACTCACCTCGGGGTTGCGTTTGAAAAACTCGGAGTTGGGATCGCACAAGGTGTCTAGCAATGCGCCCCCACAGCAACATGAGCAGCATGATCCCTACTTCATTTCAAAGCTGTGCGTGACACCCATCTCACCTCGGGGTTGCGTCTGAAAAACTCGGAGTTGGGATCACACAAGGTGGCTCGGGGCACGAGGGAGCAGAGGGTGTCCCCAGGTCTCACAATCCAAACCCTGCCACCTCAGACCAGACCAGGCAACAAGGGAACCACATCACTTTTGAGTCGATTCAAAATATATCTCTCCAGGTCTCACGCACGATCCAAGCCAACCCAAAAAAAAAAAAAAAAAAAAAAAAACCCTCGAGTAGTAGATATGATTCGTCTGTGCGCAATCAGAAACTGCAAGGGAGATAAGGGTGTCTCTAGGGGCCACGATCCAAATCCTGCTCATGCATCCACTTATCCATACAAGATGTATGTCACTCGTTTCTTGTATGTTGCACCACAGGGGACACGATACCTGCAGCGACGCTTCCTTACTTTCCGTCCAGTTCCTTGGCGCTCCCATTCCTGATGCACCGCCAGATGCAAGACATATGTCAAGCAATTTTCAAAACAACACAGGAGACACGATACCTGTAAACGACGCTTCCTTACTTTCCGTCCAATTCCTTGGCGCTCCCATTCCTGATGCGCCGTCAGATGCAAGGCCATTTCAGTGGTCGAAGCAGGGTGGGCCAATCCAGCAGAGGTTGAAGCCAGGCCATTTCAGTGTTCACCCATCGGCACGCCACGTGAGAAGAGAGTCAGGAGTGGGGTCGGGGACGAGAGAGGGGAGGGAAAGGGAGTCGAGAGGAGAAAATAGAGGGGAAAAGGAGAGTTGAAAGAGGGCAAGGAAGAAAGCATATGGACCACTAACAGTTGATATGTCTGTACTGTATGCAGACATAAGATTAAACAAGGATGATGGAAGATTAAGTGTTGTGTAATATCATCATATGGGAATACAATTTCCTGCATGTGTAGAAAGGCATGTGCGTGAGTAATGGGTTTTCTTTCTTTCTTTTCCCCCCCTGAACTACACACATTCGTAAGTTACGGAGCGATAACGACAAAGCTGTTATCACCCAGTTGTTACAGTGATATTGTGGAGGGAATTTTAGGGAGTGGGAACCATAAGGGCTTCGAAAGAATCATCGCTCTACTGTAGTGAATGCAAACGGGTTGGGAAGGAATCAAACCAAGTAATCAGATATGGCCAACATGCTTAAGTTGGACGGGATGGGCTGGGAACAAGAAAAACACATGATTGTCAGAACCAAGACTTCGTTTTAAAACTGAGACGATCAGCACTCACTCACTCACTCACCTCATTCGCTGCGCCACCTGCAGGGGCGTCAGTGCCTCCACATGCTGCCTGGGACGGCGCGGAATGAGCACTGCTGCTGCCAGCACCGCCACCCCTCCGATGGCGAGCACCTGAGAAGTGGGGGAGAAGTGAGTGAATGGCATGGGGGAAGACCAACTAAGAGGCAGGGCGCGGTATGAGCACCGCTGCTGCCAGCACAGCCACCCCTCCAATGGCGAGCACCTGAGAAGTGGGGGGGAGAGAGGAGGTGTGAGCGAATGTAGACAAAAACCAGCACTGGGAAGGACAGCGCGGAATGAGCACTGCTGCTGCCAGCACAGCCACCCCTCCAATGGCGAGCACCTGAGAAGTGGGGGGGGGAGAGGAGATGTGAGCGAATGTAGACAAAAACCAGCACTGGGAAGGAGAGTGCGGTATGAGCACTGCTGCTGCCAGCACAGCCACCCCTCCAATGGCCAGCACCTGAGGTGGGGGGAAGGGGGGGAAGGGGTGGGGTGGTGGGGGGATGAGTGGGTTGGTATTGGGGGATAGGAGGAGACCACGAGGCAGGGCGGGCGAGGCATGAGCACCGCTGCTGCTCCCAGCACAGCCACCCCTCCTACGGCGAGCGCCTCAAGGGGGCGGGAGGTGAGCAGTTGGCATTGGGAGAGACGAGCACATGCATGTGCGATCGCATCCTGCCTTGTTCAGGGGCCTATGAACAAGGCAGGATGCGACTCACATGCTTGGCCATAGGCCCCAGCCCATGCATCCATTGCCGCACCTGCCCCATCGCGCTTATCCCCATGTCACAACACACCCATGTGCCATGCCATGCCATGCCATGCCATGCCATGCCATCCCATCCCATCCCATCCCATCCCATCCCATCCCATCCCATCCCATCCCATCCCATCCCATCCCATCCCATCCCATCCCATCCCATCCCATCCCATCCCATCCCATCCCATCCCATCCCATCCCAGCCCATCCCATCCCATCCCATCTCATTTCATCCCATCCCATCCTGCCACACTCACATGCTTGGCGATAGGTCCCAGCCCATCCATCCACCGCTGCACCTGCCCTACCACACGCCTATTCCCTTGCTACAATACCCCCCCATGTGCCATCCCATCTCCACCCATCCCACCCTGTCACACTCACATGCTTAGCATTAGGCCCTAGCCCATCCATCCACCGCTGCACCTGCCCCACCATAGTCACATTCGCTTGCCTGCCCCACCACACTCGCACTCACATGCTTGGCGATAGGTCCCAGCCCATCCATCCATCGCTGCACCTGCCCCACCACCCCCACCTTCTCCGCCACTGCCCGCCTCCTCACCCTCCTCATCCCCTTCCGCTGCCCCACCTGCTGCCTCCTCTCCACCCCCTCCCCCTCCCTCTCCGCCTTCCCTCCCTCCCCCTTCCTTCCTTCCTTCTCTTCATTCCCTCCTCGCCCCCCTCTTCTCCTAGCACTCCCACTGCCGTTGCAGAGACTCGCATTACGACTTACAATGCCAGAGTCTCTGCAAGAGCCGCTCTTGCTAGAGCTACCAGTGCCAGTCCCAGTCCAGCCACTGCTGACACTCCACCGGCCACCATACTCCCTCTCACCGCTCTGGTTCACCATCTCACCGCTCTGGTTCACAGCCCCTTGGCTGGCGCGCGGGCGTCGCTTCAGCGGGGAGCTCTTACAAGGAGACTGCTTATAAGGGGACGCAGTTTGCCCGTAGGTGGCAGCATCGGTTGCAGCACTGCTGCTGGGGCAGCTGCTCTCTCTCCTGCTGCTGTCTCGCCTGCTGTTACTATGACCGCCCTGTCTTTCCTTGAAGCTCATGCTGCATGTGCGCTGCTCACTGAGTGACGGTGATGCATCACATACGCCTGGCGTTGCTGGCCCTCCTGGGGTGGCCGGGCCTCTTCCAGGGGTGGCTGGCCCTTCTTGCGGTGATACTACCGATGATCGGCCTGCTGCCCTGCCTGCTCCTGACACACTCACCGCGGCACCTGCGCCAGCACTAGCACGTGTCACCACTGTTGATGTGGCAGCCGTGCCCTGGTCCACTGCTCCACCTGACTCCACTCCTTCCTCCTCCGTTCCGTCCCTCCCCTCTCCTCCCACTCCCGCTATCTCAGCAACTGCCGTCTCTGCTGCTGCCACTGGCATTGCCACTCCCCTTCCTCCTCCTCCTCCACCTCCTCCCAGCTCCTCTCCTCCGTCGCCTCCTCCTCTCACATCTCCTCCCCCTTCCAACCTGCCCATCACACTCCCTTCCGACCTTGCTGGGCCTCCCACGAGTGCTCTCAAACTGCCGGCACTGCCATCAGCGCCCTGGCCTCTTCTCAACACCCGCTGCTCCCCCTGCCCTCCCTGCCCCTCCCTCCGTTGTCTGCGCACCTCCTCCCAGAACCGGTCATCCTCTGCCCACCGCTGCAGCAGGAGCCCCAAGTGCTCCCCTTTCCCCACACCCTCCCCCCTCCCCACACCCTCTCCCCGCCCCACACCCTCCCTCCGCCCCATCACCCCCGCCCTACCTACAGCACCCTCCCCTCTCCCCACAAGCTCCCCCTGTTCCCCCCCTAGCGCGCCCCTCCCCATGACCCTCCGCCACCCACTGACATCACTGTACCGACCAGGGAAAGGACGCAGAGAGGCCCTCTCAAGGTTGCTCTCAGAGGCAGCACTAGCACTAGCACTGCCACTGCCACCGCCACTGTCACTGCCACTGTCACTACCACTGTCGCCATTGCAACTTGTGCCCCTGCCATCACAACCCCTGTTGGTGGTGGTGACATTGCCGCCACAACCACCGCCACTGACAGCTGAGCTGGCCGCTGAAACGCCCTGCTGCTGCCACGTGTACATTAGCTGAGTCAGCGATCCCACGTCACTGGACCTACGGGGCGGGAACGAGGAAGGGGCCTCCTCTTGCGTTGCGCCGAAAAGGAAATCGCCCAGGCGACAGCTGCTCGCACCACCACCACCACCACCACCACCACCACCACCACCGATGCCGCTGCTGCTGCCAACCCAGGTCGTTGGAACAGCTGAAACAGTTGCAGCTTTGGAGAAGAAAATCTCCCGAGCCACACCCGAGCCTGAGGCTGTTCCGCTGCCCGAACCTTCTCCACGTTCGGAGCCCGAACCCGCCCTAGTCTGCGCCTCCAAGCCTGCATTACCAGCAGTAGTGACCGCACCTGATGTGATTGATGCATGCAAACCAGCACTCTCAACGCCAGAGCTGGTGAAAGACCCAAACATGCTGCCATCCCCCCCTGTGAGCGATTTTTGAGAAGTTTCAACAGCGCCAGAGCTGGTGAATGACCCGAACATGCTGCCATCCCCCCCAGTGGCACTATGGCTCGCTCCTGTAGACCAGCGGCGGCTGAAGGAAGGGCTACTGCTGGATGTGGTGGCAGAAGAAGAGAGGGGGAATGGCTGTGGCTGTGGCTGTGTTCCGCCCTCCTCAACAGCAGAGATGGTGGAGGAAGAGGAGAGTGGCTGTGGCTGGGCTCGACCCTGTCTGGTCGCAGCAGCTCTCCTCATCTGTGCGCCCTGTCTGTGGTACGCTCCCCATCCCCCTCCTCCCCTTACACTCTCGTCCCCTCCCGGTCCAAGACAGAATTCACCAGAATGAATCCCACCGGCAACTGCAGCTGCAGCAGCGTCGTTGCCAGCAGCGCCACCACCAGCGCCACCAGCGGCACCAGCAGCAGCAGATTCACCACTACCATCTGCAGCAGCAGCAGTTGCAGCCTCGTTTGCCAAACCTCCCCCAGCAGAGCACTCCATGTCCACCTTCAACACACCCAAACCCAGGCCTGCACCCGGCCGCCTTCTGACCCGCTTACAAGGCGCCTCGTTATCCACCACAAACCCGTCCTCCTGCGCCACCCGTGCTAGAGTGGACGAAGCTGCTGATAGCCCTGCTGCTGCTGCTCGTGTCGATGCTGCTGATAGCCCTGCTGCTGCAGCGGCTGCTGCTCGTGTTGATGGTGATGACGTGGCTCTAGCAGCAGAGACAGGAAGGGAGACGTTAGAGGGAGACAGAGTGGGAGTGACAACGGTGGGTGGGGTGGCAGAGGCAGAAGCAGAGGCAGACGCAGAGGCAGAGGCAGAGGGAGAGGAAGAGGCATGCGTCAACTGCACGTCCGATTCCTCCCTTGTTTCCTCTTCCTTCCCCACCTCACCTCCCCTCTCCGCTGTCCCTTCCTCTACCCTCTTATCTCCCCCCTCCCCTCCGCCCTCCTTTCCATCCTCTTCCCCTCCCTGTTCTTTCCGAGCTTCCTCCCCCTTCCCCCCCTCCTCTCCATCCATTACCCTCAACCTTTCACTCCCATCATCCGCCTTGCCGCTTGCTCCCACGCCTTTCTGACTCGACTCAACCTGCTGGCGAACCTGCCAAGGAACGCAGCGAGGGAAGGAAGTGCAAGGGGGAAGGGGTCATGGGTAGCACATGGGTGGTTAGCTAGCACAAGGGTAGCATAGCACATGCATAGCATATGAGTAGCACACGGGCAGCACATGGGTAGCACATGGGCAGAACGTGGGTACAATATGAGGAGCACATGGGTGGCGCGCGCGCACCATGGATGCGATTCTGGCTTTCTCCATCCCTGTCAGCATGAAGCTGGACTTCACATGAACTCGCGCGCCATTGGTCCACGTCAGCATTTCATCTCGAAATCGCTTCTCCACTATGACAGGCACTCTGAGGGCTGTGGCACAAGATGGGGGGGGATGACGTGGCAGGATGGGAATGACGTGCCAGGAAGGAGATGACGTGGCAGGAAGGTGAAGTGGCATGACGTACAGGATTAATAAGGTGTCATGCACAAGAAGATCACAGTTTTCTCTGTATGAAATGGAACAGAACATACTGAGAGGCAGACTCGGGCAAATGAAGGTACCAGGAAACAGAGAAGGCTGCAGCAGTGGGAGCAAACAATCAAGAGTGATACATGAGGGAAGGAGAGACGCAGGCCCTGTTAACACAGTTTCAGTCATTAATGTTAGTAACAGAGTGATGCGTCAGAGGATGCTTACATGTCTGAGTGACGATGGTTCCGTGTGAGTCGAGGAGCGAGAGGAGCACTGGATCCACCAGGTTCAGCACGGGGCTGCATTTCGGTTGAGGCGAGATAACACTGTGATTCTTAACTCCAGGGGCGAATGACGCTTACATGTCTGAGTGACGATGGTTCCGTGTGAGTCGAGGAGCGAGAGGAGCACTGGATCCACCAGGTTCAGCACGGGGCTGCATTTCGGTTGAGGCGAGATAACACTGTGATTCTTAACTCCAGGGGCGAATGACGCTTACATGTCTGAGTGACGATGGTTCCGTGTGAGTCGAGGAGCGAGAGGAGCACTGGATCCACCAGGTTCAGCACGGGGCTGCATGGCGATGCACATGCATGCACCAGTGCAGTGCAGCACACACATCACACATGCAGCACACACATACCATGTGTTCACACGTTCGTCACACACGTGCAGCACACGCATACCAGGAGGAGTGCAGAGCAAGGGAACGTGGGTGGATGGGGGGCATTGGAGCGAAGACAACCCCCAAACTCACACTCACACTCATTCATTGCACAATGACGAACAGTGCTGTGCAGGTTGAACACCAAAGAGATTATTTAATAAGCAGAGGGAAGTAGGAGCAACAGAATCCTGCCAGCGCGTGTGAACAAAGTGCAAAGGAGAGTGCCTGAAGGTGGTGGACTGTGGTGGGGAGTGATAGAGAGTGGTGGAAGGTGGTTGAGTGCGGTGCAATGTGCTGGAGGGCGGTGGAAGTGGGCGTACAAGGAGAACTCCGCATTGAAGGCGGGCAGCAGGAGTGCATCCCCCAGAGATGCCTTCACGGACGACTGGGGACCCGTGGAGAAAACCTTCGATCCAACCGCGACTGGACAAGGGGGTTAGCAGAGAGATCAGTGCTTGTGTTTGTAGCATTATATATGTAATCCATATGTATGTGTATAAATTTATACATGTATAACAAAATAAAACATTGGAAGCAGAAAGGGGATTGAGAGGCAGTCAAAGCAAGTAACTGAATACAAATCAGCATTATACTACTAAAGGCAGATGTCAACGCGATCCATGAAAGGGGGAGAGTGAGGGGTTGGGGGAACGGGTATGTGGGGATGGGATTGTTGTTTAGAGGCAGGTGGTTCACAAATTGAAACGAGCGCGTTTCGAGAGGCATTAGTTTGGTACAGATGTGCGACCCACCTTGCACAGAGAACTGATCGCCTGCAGAATCCTCCAGCCATGCACCACCAGAGCCACGGAAACATGTCGATCATGCAGCATGAAACAAGCCACCAACAGCCATGGTCCATGTGGAACACACACACACCCCATCACGCATACAGCATGCCCGGTGTCATGTCATGAATTGCTCCCACCAAGGCACCATGCACCACATGCATCACATGTATACACCCATCCCACGCATTCCACGCATCCCGTGCACGAGAGAGCGCCACATGCATAGAGAGCGCCAGCACAGCAGTGCATGCAACACACAAATCAGAGCCACCACCATTTCACGTCAGACGCAAAATCCGCGAAGGAGCATCAAAAAGCAAAATCTCAAGAGCCATTGACGTAGGAAAAACGACCAATGATCGTAGCGGCCTGACGAAGCGTTACCTTGATTCCCTGGCACGTTGACGCATTCCAGAACTGCTCACATGGAATATGAGACACGGGAAAAAAACGGCAAAATTGGAAGTAGCGGCTGGAGAGAGAGGCAACCGTTTTCGACCATTCTCGACCGTTCTCAGCCTGCATTCGCGTATACCTGAACGACACGCGTGGTTCACTCAGAATTCGAACTCTCTAAAAACTCCATGGTTTCAACAACGTACCCTGAACGCAGATTGTTCCTGGCATTTTCGCTTCCACGTCAAACAAGCAATGGTCGCTCTCTGACGGACAATGAATCCCCTTTGACAGCGATAAAGCACCTTACACGACCGCGGTCACAGCTGTTTTGCAATCAGGATACAGGCCGAATTGGAGGTCTGTCTGGTCCGGAGTTCAAGTAAAAAAATGGAATGCGCGTCGCATTCGTCAGGAAAGTAAGATCTTGGAGCGTTTAGGTTAATTCTTTGGATCAAATTGTCTCGACCAGACCAGCATCGCAGGGATAATGCGGAGCATGGATGAGAGGTTGATGCATGCGCACGTTCCAAAAAGGACCCTTGTTACGAAGTTTGAACCACGCGCGTCTGTTTCTGTGCTGCAGAAACAATGGCAGCTGACCAGCAGATGGTGATGCCGTTGTTACAGTATCTGGTTACATAAGCCTGAACAGCGGCTCTGACTCTGGTGTACTCGTCACGTCATCCTGTGTGTGCCCCTTGGGCTTGCCACAAGCCCCAGAAAGGATCCATACACGCCGCACTCAAACCTTGCTATATCTTTCTACATCCTACAGAGCCGCGTTTAACCTCGAAACACAACAATTTTATCATGTTAGCTATCAAACCTGACCTGATCCTCTCTCTCAACTTGCATCACGTTCTGAATCCGGATGGATGCCAACTGGAGCATGAGAGTTTCCAGGTCCAGGAGTTACAGTGATGGGGAGCAGAACAGAGGACAACAGAAGCGATGGTTTTCTGCAATGAGGCTGTGTGAGGAGAGATGGGGAACAGAGGTTTGGAGAGGTGTGCAAATGAGTGGAAAAGGGTGGGTCAACATACAAACATCAAGAGTGAAGGGTGACGTGACATGCAATGTAAACCGTCCGATACGATTTGACCTGTACCGCACGATGAGGAGATTCAGTATTGCATCTCCGAAGCATCAATCATTTCTGTGGCCACCTTCCGGATCTTGCGGACCTGAGTCCATCCTGATCACAATTGCCCCTGAACAATCTTCGCTACACGTCATTCTTACACCAAGCTTGGACCTCGTTGCCACGCTGGCAGCCAAAATAATCCGACGGGCTGAATCTATGTGCAGCAGTGAAGGCACCGCCAAACCAGTCTGTAAGAAACCTACACCACATCCCTTTCGCTAGTTAACATGCATGTTACAAACTGCATCCCATTGAATGATAATGATAAATGCTTCTTCCCATGTCATTGACAAAGAGCATCAAGGGAACCATACTTTGCGAGTTACCTAAATCCTAGAAGAGCAGTAGTAGCTAAACCCGTCCCATATGGCCCCCCTTCCAGGAGTGCAGGGAAAGGTGATGACACTGCACCGACAACATAGCTGCAGCACGCAGCATGCACCGCACAGCAATCCACTCCCACCACCTTTTCTGTGCTGGAAACTCTAAAACTGTAAGGTCGCAACCGTCTACACCTGGTACCCCACCCAACCCCCTGATGTTTTCAGTCCAGCAGTAATTGCCCTGGCCAGAGCCGTGGCTGCTGCAGCATGCAGCATGCGAGGCAAACCCCAGGGCTGGAAGGAAGCTGTAGCAGATAGCCATGACCAGAGGTAGCAGAGTGAGCGGATGAGAGCGAGGGAGATGAGATTACTAAGGGAAGGACGTGGGCGGAGAGGGAGGGGAGGGGAGCGAGATTGCTGTGAAAAAAAGGGGGGAGGGGAGGAGGAGACCCAGAGTTAGTGAGAGGAAGTAAGCAGCGAGGGGGATGAGTGGGCTGTTAGCGAGAACAAGGAAAGCGAAAGAAGGCGAGGAGCTAATGTATGGCACGAAGAGGTAGCAGTATGAGAGGAGGTTGGCAGAGGCGCTTGGCAGAGGAAGAGGCGGTTGAGAAGCGGTTGAGAAGCGGTTGAGAAGTGGTTGAGAAGCGGTTGAGAAGCGGTTGAGAAGCGGTTGAGAAGCGGTTGAGAAGCCGTTGAGAAGCGGTTGAGAAGCGGTTGGCAGAGGCGGTTGAAAGAGGCGGTTGGCATTGCCACTATTGCGTCTTGGATGGCACTGAACGATTCATCACTGCGACATGGCTCCTGCACCTGGTGGGGGGCCCATGGTAGGCATCATTGCCATGGGCATGCCAGGCGCACCCCTCATGGGCCCCACACCCCCAATAAACCCTAAACCCTGATGGCACTGGGGAGTCACTGCGACATGGCTCCTGCACCTGGTGGCGGCCCCATAGAAGGCATCATAGCTATGGGCATCGGCATGGGCATACCCATGGGCATGCCAGGCGCTCCCCTCATCGGCCCCATACCTCCCATCCCCCCCATGCCCCCCATGCTCCCCATGCTCCCCATCCCTCCCATCCCCCCCATCCCTGCCATCCCTCCCATGCCCCCCATGGTTCCCATCCCTCCCATGGCCCCCATGCCTCCCATGCCTCCCATTCCTCCCATTCCTCCCATTCCTGCTGCCCCCATGGCTGTAGCGGGGAGGCCTGGCATGGCTGTAGCAGGGCCGGCTGTAGCAGGCAAGCCCGTAGCACCCAGCATGGGTGTAGCAGCGGATGGGCCTGTTGTTGCTGGCAGTCCGGCTGTAGCATGGACGGCTGTAGCGGGGAAAGTTGTAGCGTGGATGGTTGTAGCGGGGAGGCCAGGAGGCATGGAGATGGGGATGAGGGAGGAGGATGGGGAGGGGGAGAGGACTTGGCAGGCAAGGTCTAGGTTAGGCTTGACTGGGAGAGGTGGCATTTGGCTCATTGTACCGGGGACTGAGGTCATCCTGTAACGAGGACATGCCAAGTGGGTGGGAGGAGGGGGAGGAGGAGGAGAAAGGTATAAGTTAGGATTGACTGGGAAAGGCGGCACCTGGCTCACTGATTGTACCGGGGACGTTGGGTGGGGTTGGGAGGGGAGGACAGAGCGAGGATAAATGTGTGGGGCGTATGTTGCAAGCACAAGCATGTGTACTCTTGTGTGTGTGGGCGTTGGGTGGGGGTGTGGAGGTGCATGTGTGGTGTGAAGGAGGTAGAGTGCGTGGTGTGAGGGGAGTGAGTAACGGCGGAATGGGAGGCGTGCACTCACCCATGGACCACCGAGAGGATGTTGTCTCTCAGCCGAATCAGGAGGCCGTTGCACTCCTGCGACTGGGAGGGAAGTGAGAAGGCAGCAGCAGCAGCAGCAGCAGCAGCAGCAGCAGAAGACATTGTTTTTAGTCAGCAAGAAGTAGCACAAGGCAGGTCGAAGCAGATGCAGGCGTGATGCATGAATAAATCCCTTGGGGTACATGATGTCATACTGGTACACGGTTACCAGGTTATGTAGACACCTGGTTACCAGGTTACCCTCCACCACTGCAACAGCATGCTCACCTTGTTTGCAGCCAGTGCAGCCTTGACTTGGGAGATGAGGTCCACGTTCTGCTCGAGTAGCTTGTCGGGTGACAGATCCCCTGTGAGGGGCGGGGTGGGGGGATGGAGAGGAGAGGCAGTGGGAATCAACGTGTCTGCTTGACTTGGGAGATGAGCTCCACGTTCTGCTCGAGTAGCTTGTCGGGTGACAGATCCCCTGTGAGGGGCGGGGTGGGGGGATGGAGAGGAGAGGCAGTGGGAATCAACGTGTCTGCTTGACTTGGGAGATGAGGTCCACGTTCTGCTCGAGTAGCTTGTCGGGTGACAGATCCCCTGTGAGGGGCGGGGTGGGGGGATGGAGAGGAGAGGCAGTGGGAATCAACGTGTCTGCTTGACTTGGGAGATGAGCTCCACGTTGCTCGAGTAGCTTGTCGGGTGACAGATCCCCTGTGAGGGGCGGGGTGGGGGGATGGAGAGGAGAGGCAGTGGGAATCAACGTGTCTGCTTGACTTGGGAGATGAGCTCCACGTTGCTCGAGTAGCTTGTCGGGTGACAGATCCCCTGTGAGGGGCGGGGTGGGGGGATGGAGAGGAGAGGCAGTGGGAATCAGCGTGTCTGCTTGACTTGGGAGATGAGCTCCACGTTCTGCTCGAGTAGCTTGTCGGGTGACAGATCCCCTGTGAGGGGCGGGGTGGGGGGATGGAGAGGAGAGGCAGTGGGAATCAACGTGTCTGCTTGACTTGGGAGATGAGCTCCACGTTCTGCTCGAGTAGCTTGTCGGGTGACAGATCCCCTGTGAGGGGCGGGGTGGGGGGATGGAGAGGAGAGGCAGTGGGAATCAACGTGTCTGCTTGACTTGGGAGATGAGCTCCACGTTCTGCTCGAGTAGCTTGTCGGGTGACAGATCCCCTGTGAGGGGCGGGGTGGGGGGATGGAGAGGAGAGGCAGTGGGAATCAACGTGTCTGCTTGACTTGGGAGATGAGCTCCACGTTCTGCTCGAGTAGCTTGTCGGGTGACAGATCCCCTGTGAGGGGCGGGGTGGGGGGATGGAGAGGAGAGGCAGTGGGAATCAACGTGTCTGCTTGACTTGGGAGATGAGCTCCACGTTCTGCTCGAGTAGCTTGTCGGGTGACAGATCCCCTGTGAGGGGCGGGGTGGGGGGATGGAGAGGAGAGGCAGTGGGAATCAACGTGTCTGCTTGACTTGGGAGATGAGCACCACGTTCTGCTCGAGTAGCTTGTTGGGTGACAGATCCCCTGTGAGACAAGAGAGGAGAGGAGAGGCGGCGGGAATCAACGGCGAGAATGGCTCCAGTTCGGTCCAAATGACAGTCAGGCAGGCAACGTATAGAATCATTAGAAATAACAGGCTTTGATAGGGCAAGGCATTAGAAATGTGAAGGCGGAGCGGATGGAATCGGCCCAAATGACAGGCAAGCAGGGTAACGAATCAGGGAACATGAGATGAGGCATGGGAAAATAAAAAGACATGCACCAATTTGATGGGAAACGCACAGAGAGCGGGATGAAACGAGGCTACTTCGTTTGTGTGGAATGGAGTGGGAATGGGGGACGGAGAGATGGAGGGGGGGCAAATGAAGAGGGGTTGGGGAAATGGAGAAGGGGGGGGGGGGGGGGAGAAGGGTTTTTTTTTTAAGAAATGGAGGGGGGGGGTCGGAGATTTTAAGGGGAGCACAGCAGACGTACCGGATAGCGAGCTGCCGCTGTTGTCAGCACCGTCTGTATGCGTGTCAGCAGCACCACAGCCATCACCGCCACCACCCCCTGCCCCTGCCCCCTGCACCAGATGCACCTCCCCCTGCCCCTCGCGCCCCGCCCCAGCAGACGTACCAGATAGCAAGCTGCCGCTGTTGTCCGCACCGTCTGTATGCGTGTCAGCAGCACCACACCCATCACCGCCACCACCACCACCACCACCACCACCACCTGCTGCTTTGAGAATCATCAAAGGAACACAGCAGACGTACCGGATAGCAAGCTGCCACTGTTGTCAGCACCATCTGTATGCGTGTCAGCAGCACCACACCCATCACCGCCACCTCCCCCTGCTGCGGCTGCCCCAGATACACCTGTACCAGATGCACCTCCCCCTGCTCCTCTCGCCCCAGCACCGTCCCCAGCACCTGCTGTTTCTGTCTTGACCATACCCTGTCCCCCTGTCCTCGCCACTCCCCCTGCCCCCCCTGCAAGAGCCCCCCCTCCAGCAGCGTTTCCGCCTGTTCCCCCTGCCCCCCCTCCCCCCCCTGCCCCTGCTCCTCCCCCTCCTCCTGCTGCGGGTTCCCCTGCTGCTGCTGTCTGCATTCGCTGCTGCTGGTCCTTGTCCTGTATGGGAACAGCAGGGGGGATAGCGCACATGGGATGAGAATGGGGTGGAAGTGGGCCATTTGAGTCGGGTCAAGGATTGGTTCCCCTGCTGTTGCCTGCACTCGCTGCTGTTGGTCCTTGTCCTGTATGCGAACAGCAGGAGGGACGGGGGAAGTGGGGTGGAAGTTGGAAGGAAGTGGGGTAGCAATGGAAATTCTGAATAGACCTAAAAATCAGTTCCCCTGCTGCTGCCTGCACTCGCTGCTGCTGGTCCTTGTCCTGTATGCGAACAGCAGGGGAGACAAAGGGAATTGGGTGGAATTGGGTGGAATGGGGATGGAAAGAATGTATATTGCAACAAGAACAACAAAGTTCAGAAGTTGGGAGGCAGAGGGAAACACATAGGCGGAGGCACGGAGAGAGGGGCAGACGAAGAGGCAGAGAAAGGAAGAGAAGGGGAAAGAGAGATAGGGGGGGGGGGGGGGAGAGAGAGGGAGGGAGAGGCGCGGGCTTGCCTTTTTGTCCTTGGGCTTCTTGGCTGCTGTGATCTCCTCCGCCCTCCGCCTCTTGCCCATCTCCTTCCTCTGCGTTACAAATCATAAGAGCAGACGACACGCAGAGGACAGAGGAGGGACGAGTGTGATTCTGAGGTGCCTGAAAAGTACCCTCCGCCTCTTGCACATCTCCTTCCTCTGCGTCCCAAGGCAAGGGAGAAGACGACACGCAGAGGAGACTGAATCTGAGGCATTTAAAATATGCCCACCGCACAAAATAACACCTTCCCCAGGTACAGCCTTTGAGGCGCCACAAAAATCGAACACCGCACCAAATACCGCCTCCCCAGGTGGAATATTTGAGGCAGGAGTTTTAAAAGTCGAACCACCGCAGAAGATATCACCTCCCCCAGATACGGCCTTTGAGCCGCCTCAAAAGTCGAACCACCACAGAAAATATCACCTCCCCCAGGTGCAGCCTTTGAGGCAAGCGCCTAAGAAGCCAAACGACCCCATCAGATATCACCTCCCCAGGTTACGGCTCAAAAGCCAAATCACCGCACCAGATACCACCTCCCCCAGGTGCGGCCTCGTCTTCAACCCTTGAATCACAGCTCCAGATATCACCTCCCCCAGGTGCGGCCTCACCTGCAGCCATTTGCAGCGCAGAGCCACGTCCCGGGCGGTCTTCTCCGGCAGAGACGTCGCGATCTTAAGGTAGCGCTGGGCGGGGGTGAACTGATCCGCAGGGAACCTGGTGGGGGACGTGGGGGAAGGGGGGGGGGAAGAGGGGGGGAGAATTGAGACGTCCCGAGCGGTCTTCTCCGGCAGAGACGCCGCGATCTTGAGGTAGCGCTGGGCGGGGGTGAACTGATCCGCAGGGAACCTGGGGGGGGGCGCGGGGTGGGGGGGGAGGTGGGGGGTTGGAGGGGGGGGGAGAGGTGTGGGGAGGGTGGGAGGGAGGATGGGAGATCATTGCCTGGAGAGTTGAGACGTCCCGGGCGGTCTTCTCCGGCAGGCTCGCCGCGATCTTGAGGTAGCACTGCGCGGGGGTGAACTGATCCGCGGGGAACCTGGTGGGGGCGCGGGGAAGGGAGGAGGGAGGGGTGCGGGGGTGTGGGGGGGTGTGTGGGGGAGGGTGGGAGGCAGGATGGGAAATGATTGCCTGGAGAGGAGAGTTGAGACGACCTGGGCGGTCTTATCCGGCAGCGACGCTGCAATCTTGAGGTAGCGCTGCGCGGGGGTGAACTGATCGGTGGGGAACCTGGGGGAGGGGGGGGGGGGGGGGGGGGGGGGCGAGGGGGAAAAGGGAAAGGGCAGGGACGGGAGGAGGGGAAGACATTAGGCTGCGAGAGAGCGCTAGAAGAAAGCTGTAAACACGCGAACTGGAGGTAGAGCTGGGCGCGGGGGGGGGGAACCTGGAGGCGGGGGCGTCGAGGGGGGAACGGGGAAGGGGAGGAAGCGGAGGAGGGGAAGACATTAGGCTGTGAGAGAGCGCTAAGCTGTAAACGCGCGAACTGGAGGTAGAGGTGTGAGGGAGTGGGGGTAACTGGACGGGGGGAAACCGGAATGGATAGATGTACGAGCGTCTGCGTTAGAGTCAACAGGTTCCAACCGAAATAAAATATGGTTCTATTCTATGCATGCACACGGTTTCTTCTAATGGTCAAAGGGGGGTCAGTCGTCCACTCTCTCTCACTACACTCGCGCGTCGCCAAGGAGACCGATTATTCAACGGTCACAGTGGCTGACCTTCGCTGGAAAACTGGAAGTAAGCTGCTGCATACATCAATCACAGGAGAACCGAACAACGGCAGGGTTTAAGGTTCTAGGTGAGCACGAGCCGTTGTCGCCATCTATCGCAAATGGTTCGTACGCACTGAAGCCAGAAGATTCATCAAACATACTCCTCATTGAGCGACCCGGAACGTTCATCGAGTGAACTTCTTAGCGACCGTACGCGTTCGCAGCAACACTGTCTGACCTGTCGCGATGGAAACTCTTTAGGACGAGAGGGGATCGACTGACGCAGCGGGTGGCGAGTCGTTCGATAATGGTCCTAAGCAACTCGCCAATGCGACTGATATCAGCTTCAGCTCAAGACGGCGACGACAGACCTCTGGGACTACACTGTCGTGCGACCTCTGCGACTACGCGGTCGTGCGACCTAAGCGACTACACGGTCGTGCGACCTCAGCGACTACACGGTCGTGTGACCTCAGCGACTACACGGTCGTGCGACCTCAGCGACTACACGGTCGTGCGACCTCAGCGACTACACGGTCGTGCGACCTCAGCGACTACACGGTCGTGCGACTACCTCTGCGACTACACGGTCGTACACTACCTTTCTCTATCTTTAAAAACACCAGCCACCCCGACAGCCCCACCTTGCGAGCCCTTGATCCAGCAACCGTTGCTCCTCAGCCGTCCATGCTTCCGACAAGTACGGGAAGTGCAACAGCTGAAGCTGCACGTGCAGCGGCGGAGGAGACGGCGGGGGAAGCGCCAGCGGCGGCGGCGGCGGCGGCGGCGATGGCGTCGCCGCCCGCGCCGGTGCCGCTGTTGCAGCAGCGGCGGCTGCTGCTGCTGCTGACGGCGATCTTTGTGGCGGTTCGGAAACGGCGGCGACGGAAGGCGAGTCTCGAGGCGCCTCAGAGAATGCGGCGGCGGACGGCGCGGGTGGTGCGCTCGTGGCGTCCGGCGAAGCTGCAGCGGCGCTGGCACTGGCGCAAGCGGCGGCAGCGGCGGCAACGGCGGCTGAGATGGCGGCGGGGGAAGCTTGCGCCTTGCCCGATGCAGAATGCGTTTTGGCGGAAGCAAGTTGCGCTTTGGCGGAAGCAGGCTGCGCTTTGGCGGAAGCAGGCTGCGCTTTGGCGGAAGCAGGCTGCGCTTTGGCGGAAGCAGGCTGCGCTTTGGCGGAAGCAGGCTGCGACTTAGCGGAAGAAAGCTGCGCTTTAGCCGATGTGGAGGGTGTGGAAGAGGGGAGCTTGGGTCGGGGAGCGGGAGGAGCGGGAGGAGCGGCGGCCGCTTGCATGTAGCCGTTGGAGGAAGGCGCTTCTCCATTGGCCATCGACGAGCCTCCATCAACACGAGCCTCACCGCGGCGACGAGCTTTCTCGAACCGCGATCATTCGCGAAATACGTTTATTTTGCGAAGAACAATTATTCCCGTGTCTTCGATCGGGGATTGACCTAAGTAAAATGGGCCGAAGGAATCAATTATTTTAGAGGAAACTACGAAATCATAATGTAGAGAAATGCGAGGTTAGTTGGAATGTCAAAAACGAGAATGCCGTACATGAAGCTGAAACCGAGTCGCACTAGTTTGAGCTCCCACTACATGTCTAGAAATAATCTACTTGTCGCCGTACATGGGACATTTACTAAGGGCAGGGCTATCTCTGGTTTTAGGTTTGGTTCGGATGTGCCGGGAGAGAGTCCACCCGACCGAACCAGAAGATTCACGTGGCACAAGCCCAGGAAGCACGACACGGTATGCTCATGCCATAACTGATGGGGGTTTGAACTTCTCCCTTTTCTCTTTCTCTCCTCTCCCTCGTCGCTTGGGAACCCTAAGAGGAGACAGCACAGCTCAGCACAGCAGGAAGCAGGAGGTGTTGCTGCTGTGATGTTGTGATGTTTTGTTGGCTGTCCGTGCAAGCCTCGGGATTCGGGTGAAGGGGCCTGGGCTGGGAGAAAGCTCAAGGGAGGTGTGTGGTGTGGTGTGGTGTGGTGTGGTTTGGTGTGGTGGAGTTGAGTTCAGAGTACAGATTCGGGTTTCAAACAAAATTCGAAGTGAAGACCGAGGGAGAACTGAGGAGGGAAAAGCGAGTTAAGTTCCCCAAAACACTTGGAGACCTCGACACTAGGAGCCTTGGAGTTGTCGAGTCGAGTCAAAACGTTTTCTGGTATTCCCAGAGGTCGGGAGAATGCCGAAATTTTCACCGTGGCAACATTGCTAAATTGGAGGTAAACCCTGCGCGTGCGTTTTGGTGATTCGTTGAACGATCAAAGCAAACGACTCCAAGCGTGACGAGGGAGCCGTGATGCCCCTCCATCCAGTGTTGAGTTGAGAGAGAGGGAGGGACCGGAAAGTGGAATGGTTGTGACGAAGACACAGTGGCTGTGACCTGCGGTTATGATGACTTCTTCCCACTAGGTTCTCGACAAGAAGTTCTGGGCGGATCTTCAGAATTCACACGAAAACGAAAAAGTAGCAATTTGTTTTGAAAACGGAAAATCATGGATGTAAATTTGCATAACAGTTTATGTAAAAACCTCACGAAATTTGATGGCGTCTCCAAACCTGGTGACCGTACCAAAAGCCAAAGGGCAAGCACTTCTTGGTTCGGAAAAAGCGGGAGATTCAAGTAAAGTGAAAGTATTAATCTGACGTGGAAATGACGTGGCTGCACCTGCCATCCGCAAACGGCGCCCACGCCGCCATCACAATCATCGTGGCGTTTGACTCCAACAAGAGCGGCCTCTTTTGGAAGTTCACGAAGAACGGAATATACTCGTAAATATATGCGCAGCCAAATACAGAAACAAATCCTCTGAAACAAATGCACGTAGAAATCGATAAATAATGCTTGATTCTATATTTAATATTGCTGAACACTGTTCATGTCCTATCCGGAATTTTAGTGTCGTTCATTTTGTGCGCCCATAGGTTCATAATAGCTGTTTTGGTACTGTTATGACTACTGGTATTACAAATTCGTATCTTTTTTCTACAGAGCGTATGGCCGATGCCAGAAGATCGACGCGTGGGCTAGGTGCTGTGGCACAGATTCGTCACGGTTCTCTGTAGTGCGCGTGACGCACCACACCAGGGCCCCAGTTTTGATAGTTTCGTGTCCTCCTAGGTGATATGTAGTACCATCTCATCTCTCTCCATGGATCGAAATACCACCATCTCATCCCTCTCGGTGGATCGGAACTACTAAAGATAAGGAGAGAGACACTTACCGATCGGTACAGTACCACGAGATTCGACTCGAGAAAGCGAGAACCTCGGACAAGCGGGTAGAGCTTCACAGACGAATTCACGTAGTTTTGAGTTCTGTTCACTCACAATGCGGCATGCAGATTTGTCAGATGGGTAGAGTCGTCAAGCAAGAGTCGCTAAGCGAGCCTTTTTACGACTTTTCAGTATTGCAGCAGTCTCCGTAACGGTTCGCGCTTCCATTATAAGTGATTCGGCACTATTTTGACTTGAGGACTTGAACCGCCGCAAGGTCACTTCAATTTTGAGGCGACAGCGTAACGTAACTGTGATAAATCTGAGCGCGATATACGCAGGAAGAACACTCGTAATCAGCCAATCACCATGCCGCTAACTGCAGCTGAGCGTTTGGCGAAAGTGGTGAACTGGCAGCAGGTGGCAATCGTGTCAGCAGTCCTGATCGCCACCGTTATAATCACAAGCCAATGCTGTAAGCTCCGACACCCTCGATGCTCAAGACTCCTATCCTTTGAAGACGTCAGCACACCCACAGTCAACTTGGGGGAGCAACCTTTAATCTCATTGGTGAAGTTTTGTTACTATGACGAAGTAATAGCGTTCCCTTACCACATTCAGTCTCATCGCGTATATCCTTAACGTTCCCATCCTTATCCCTTTTGTACAACTCATATCGCGGATGCACCGTGCAGACACGGTTTCTTGGAATGACAGTGCGAGCCGACCATCTGACAACTGTACCATCACTGCCAACAACCAGCAAGACTCCAGAAAACCCTCGAGATTCCACATTCAAGACTACGGCCTTCGGGGACCTATCCCCTGGACGTACATCCGACCGTCCGTTTGCGATGCCTTCACAGTCAACGACTCGATCCGGACCGTTGAAGCTTTCCGCGGGACGGATCTGGACGACTCCGGAGCGAAGGAGGTCGTTTGGACAACCGAAATGATCAACCAAAAGCGGCGTCAGGCAGAGAAGAGATCTCTGAGAGTTTCTAGTTACGGGAAAAATGCTACCCAAAGTTTTTACCAGGCGTTTGATACGCACCCAGTGAAAGGGAAATCGGTGCTGGTGGTGGGGAGTCAACTCCCTTGGCTTGAGGGGATTCTCTTGGCGTATAAAGCTGGGTCGATCACAACCGTTGATTTCAACAAACCGGTTGCAGATTATCCTGGGTTGAGGCTGTGGAATATTGCTGAGCTGGACGCTTCAGACGAGACCTTTGACGTGGTAGCTTCGTATTCGTCGCTGGAGCACGATGGGCTGGGGAGATATGGCGACCCGCTGAACCCCCATGGGGATCTGCTGAGAATGAGGAAGGTAATCCGCTGAGGTGGTTGGCACTGGGATGCCCGGATTTATGGGATCCAATTTCCCTGGTATGTGTTACCTAGCCATGCTTGCTACGGGTTTGCTCTCTGCTGAAATTTACTGCATCCAATCTGAAATTTGAGTGTTTGCGTCAGCTGAAGCATGCATGTCCTTGCCAATCTGTTACCCCTCAAAGGCATCTCCTCTCACATCCTTCTGATTCTTGCCCTTCGCTGCCATGTCCCTTTGCATCTGCCCCATTGCTGCTGCGCAGATCAGGGGTCTGCTGAAGCCAGGAAGGCTCTTTTTCCTGGGGCTCCCAGTGGGAAACGACACGCTGGTGTTCAATGCGCATCGGGTGTACGGTCCCATCCGCATGCCGCTCCTGCTCGAGGGATGGGAGCTGCTGGACGTGTTTGGGGTGTCCAGCCTCGAAGCAACTTACAGGGAGAATCTGGATAAGGCCAACATACAGCCTGTCATGGTGTTGAGGTACACCTAACACGCAATTATGCATACCGGTATGCTTGCCACAATAAAGTGTATGTTTGCCACAGTAATCCGAAGGACCAATGTACAACTACCAAATTCTGAAGGGATCTCTGTCACAGTGCCAGGGCAACCACCAGGAGACACAAGTAGGCCAAGGCTCTTAAGGATCTATGAGTATGCTTTCTCAGAGGCCTTATGGGTTCTTTAGTAGGACTCGTGTACGGTATGATTATGTCAGTTTATAGTATCTACTTTGTTGTCATGTTAGAGTTAGACATGTTTTTTTCCTATTGTGGTACAGATCAGTGAGTTCTTTTAACTTTTCCACTATTACATAGTAGTACCGTGTATCTATCTACAGTCTGTACAGTTGTGCATCGTTTAGAAGCACGAAATTCTCGAAGTCCTTTGGCGAGCGCAGCGTTTCTTCGTTGGCAATTTCGCCTTTGGCGAAAAGTCGTCTTACGGCCATATTGTAGGAATAGACTGGTCACTGGTGCTTACAACTCGAAAGCATCGCACTTTATCGGATCGGCCCTTCACCACTTGACGGGGAGGTCGAAGCGCTCGTTCGAGACGTCTCTAGACTTTTGTCCACCGCCTCCTCCTAAGATTGCATGGCCGCAGCGCTCGCGTATCGCGCCATTCACGCCGCGTCGCCTCTTCGATCGCCAACAGGCCTTGCGTGCCTGAAAGCCAGACCGCCAACGCAGACCCACGCGCCGAACCGCGCGTCTCCGCTGCTGCTCCTGCGACAGTCCGAGGCGCCAACGCTGCGCAATTCTCGCGCGCCTCGACTTACCCATCAAATCGTCGCATCCCCCACCCTCCCCGCTCAACTCGCCGCCCCTCCCGCGCGTTCGCACAGGCGAATCTTTCCCGTGCGAGCGATGGCGACTGCGACGAACGCGAGTGCGACGGATGCGACTGCTGGCGACGCTCCCGGGAAAGTGAGCCTTTGGAAAGTGCCAATCAGTGGTTGTAATCTCGAAGCGCCTCTAGACGATCCCCTGAGTCGGCTATCAGTGGTTGCATTCCTACTTGAGGCGGCGCCCACCCACCCTCCTCCTCCGACCCCCCATTCCTCCCCCACCTTGCGTATTGCAGTTCAAGATCGCGCTGTGCCAGCCCTTCAGAGCCTTCAGAGCTCTCAGAGCCTTCAGAGCTCTCAGAGCTCTCAGAAACAACTCCTTTCTCTCTCTTCTCCCTCCGCTACGCGCTCTTCCCCAGCGCTCATGCCATTCGCAGTTCAAGATCCCGCTGTGCCTGCTAGCAACCGACAGCTATTGACTGAAAAAGAATCGCACTGATGTTTCCCTCCCTCCTCTACCTTCCCACCCACCCACCCCTCCCTGCCAGTTCAAGATCGCGCTGTGCCAGCTGGCGGTGGGCGCTGACAACAGAAGCCCACAGATGTCCCCTCTTCCACTCACCTCCCCTCCCGCCCGCCCGCCCGCCCGCCCGCCCGCCCTTCCCCACCCACCCCTCTCATTGCGCAGTTCAAGATCGCGCTGTGCCAGCTGGCGGTGGGTGCTGACAAGGCGCGCAACATCGCGCACGCGAGAGACATGATTGGCCGCGCTGCGGACGAGGGTGCTAAGCTGGTGCTGCTGCCGGTATGGGGGGGGGATGAAAGGGGGAGGGCCGGATAGGGGGCGGAGAGAAGGGGGGAGGGGGCAGGGAGAGAGGGGGAGGGGGGCGGAGAGTAGGAGGGAGGGAAGGCGGAGAGGGCAGGAGGGGGGAGGAAGGAGAGTGCGACATGATTGGCCGAGCTGTGGACCGCTGGGACCACAGCTTGTGCCGCTGCCGGTATGCGCGGAAAGAGGGGGGAGAGGGGATGCGAACCGTAGGAGGGAGAGAGAGAGAGGGGACGGAGAGAATGGGGTTGAGAGGTTGAGAGGGTGAGACTCTCACCGTGAGAGGTGCTGCACTGCCGTTTGGAGTGCACGATCCACACACTCTTCTGTCTGTCTCTACACGAACTGTGCTGCGTTTTGCATGTGTAGACTGTATTAGCCAACTGACTTCATTCTTTCCCATTCCCTCCCATTTCCCTTTACTTCTCCCACTCTCTCATTTCCCCCCATACCCACTTATTCCACCTCATTCCCCCTCATACCTGCACATTCCCCTCGTTCCCTCTTCTTCCTGCTTCTCAATCCGTCTCCCACTTCCCTTCCACTTTAATCCTACCCCCTCCCCTTCTCCCCCTTCCCCCCCCCGCCCCTTCCCCTCCCCCCTTCCTCCCCTCTCCCCCTCCCCCCTCCCCCTCTCCCCCCTTCCCCTCATCGCTACTACCTCATTTCCAGAAAACGTGGAACTGCTCTTATTCCAACGACAACGATTACTCCCTTCCATCCACTCACCTCTTCCCCTCCCCCTCCCCCATTCCCCTCCCCCCTCCCCCTTTACGCTCCCCCCTCCCACTCATTGCCACCTCATTTCCAGGAAATGTGGAACTGCCCTTATTCCAACGAAAACTTCCCCACCTATGCCGAGGAAATTTCCCCGGAAGATTCCTTCGCCTCGTCTCCCTCCGCTGCGATGCTCGCTGACGTGGCGGGGCGGCGCGGCGTGACTATAGTGGGGGGTTCGATTCCCGAGAGGAGGGAGGGGCGGCTGTATAACACGTGCCTTGTGTTTGGCAGCAAGGGGGAGTTGAAGGGGCGGTTCAGCAAGGTGAGGGGGTTTGGGATGTGACTGTGGATAGGGTGTGTGTGACTGTAGGTTGACGGGAGGAGGGAGGGGCGGCTGTGCAACACGTGCCTTGTGTTTGGCAGCAAGGGCGAATTGAAGGGGCGGTTCAGCAAGGTGAGGGTGGGGAGGGTGTGGCTATAGAGAGGGTGTGTGACTATAAGAGGCGGTTATGTTTCCTAGAGTGAAAGGAGGGGCGGCTGTATAACACGTGCCTTGTGTTCGGCAGCAAGGGGGAGTTGAAGGGGCGGTTCAGAAAGGTGAGGGGGGGATGTGATTGTGGAGAGGGTGTGACTATAGTAGGGGGTTGCGTTTCTGAAAGGAGGAAGCGAGAGGTGGCGATCGGGACGGGGGGGTAAGGGATGATGGATGGGAAGTGAGGAGGGGTGACACATGTTGGCAGCGAAGTAAAGTTTGGAGTGCGGTTTAGTCAGATGAGGTGCGGTTTCGTCAGGTGAGGTGCAGTTCCTCAGGAATCAACCCAACCCAACCTGGCGAATCCGACTTGCTCTTTTCAACTCAAGGTGACGGAGGGTTGCCAGCGTGATAGTACGTTTCATTTGAATTCTCTCACAACACACTTACTGCCTCCCTTTCACCTTCCCCTCCCTCCCCAAACCCCCCCCTCTCTCCCCTCACTTATCACCCTCTTCCCTGGTTGGCCCCTCCACTCTTTCCCCCATCCAAGTTCCAACCCCCCTGTCTCCTACTAACCCCCCTTACATGTGGTTTGGAGCATCGCAAAGCTAAACCCCTCTTTGACCCCGTTTTTGCCACCCCCTGTCCCCCCATCAGCTGCACCTGTTTGACATTGACATCCCATCCCTCCCCCTTTCGCCCCCAGCTGCATCCCGTTGCCTTCTCCTCTCCCCTCCCTGTCCCCCCATCAGCTGCACCTGCTTGACATTGACATCCCATCCCTCCCCCTTTCGCCCCCAGCTGCATCCCGTTGCCTTCTCCTCTCCCCTCCCTGTCCCCCCATCAGCTGCACCTGCTTGACATTGACATCCCATCCCTCCCCCTTTCGCCCCCAGCTGCATCCCGTTGCCTTCTCGGGGAAGATCCCGGGGAAGATCACCTTCAAGGAGTCTCACACGCCCACCACCCTTCCCCTGTTCCCCTCCCTCCCTTTTTTCCTTCCCCCCCCCTGCACCCCCCGGTCCCCCTACCCCTGTCCCCCCATCAGCTGCACCTGTTTGACATTGACATCCCGGGGAAGATCACCTTCAAGGAGTCTCACACGCCCACCACCCTTCCCCTGTTCCCCTCCCTCCCTTTTTTCCTTCCCCCCCCCCTGCACCCCCCGGTCCCCCTACCCCTGTCCCCCCATCAGCTGCACCTGTTTGACATTGACATCCCAGGGAAGATCACCTTCAAGGAGTCTCACACGCCCACCACCCTTCCCCTGTTCCCCTCCCTCCCTTTTTTCCTTCCCCCCCCCTGCACCCCCCGGTCCCCCTACCCCTGTCCCCCCATCAGCTGCACCTATTTGACATTGACATCCCAGGGAAGATCACATTCAAGGAGTCTGACACGCTCACACGTGGCGAGCAGCCATTGGTCGTTGACACAGGTCAGTTGCCCTTCTGCATCTACACTAAGCGAATCCTTTTCTTTTCTTTCTAGTTCAGCTCAAAAGGAAGCTTCTTCTTTGAGAGATTGTAAAAGCTGCTTCCCATGCTGGCTGAAGAAAGGAAATTGTCATTTTAATGCTGCCAAAGTTTTTATCCGAATATCTTTTTGCAAATCATTTTATTTCCTGGTCTTTGTTGTCCTATCTGACCCTTCCCTTCTCCCTTCCGCCCTCATCATTCCACACCCTTCCCTTCCATCTCCGTTCTTTCTGCAAAGTTCCATCATTTCTTGCTTCTTCTAGACATGGCTTGATTGCCAATCCGCACATATTTTTGTCATTGGCTGCTGCATTCCGATCCAACATTCAGATTGCCACCTTCCCTGCATTCTGGACTCCCATGTTCCATACCCCTGTCCTGTCATTTTGGGGGAATGGAATGGAAAAGAAAAAGAAAAAAAAAAAAAAAAAAAAAAAAAAAAAACACGCACTCTCCCCTGACCTGCCCCCACTTTACCTGCACGATTACATCCTCCTGTCTGCCGCATTCCCCTTCCCTCCTCTCCCCCTTTGCCCCTGGCCCCCCTCGCGCCCCCTCACTCACACCTCTCTCTCATCTCTCCCCTCTCTCCCCTGGCGACATCATTGCTATGGCGTTCCATTATCCTTTGCGTTCCCCTTTTCTTTCCTTCTCCTTCCGGCCTTTCACCCCCCTTCCTCTGCATTTGCTATGACAATCCAATCCGTCCCACCCTCCCCTCTCCCTCCCCTACTCCCCTCTCTCACTCCTCACTCTCGTCTCTCCCTCCCCTAGACTTGCCGCCATTAGCCGTGGCCATTTGCGACAATAATCAAATCCCCTCCCTTTCCCGCGTCCCCTCCAATTTCCCCAAAAGCATTCCTATGTCCTCCGGCCTTCCCTGCCGTCCCCTCTCCTCTCATCTCGCCCCGTCTTCCCGCTCTCCCTTCCCCAGGCGTGGCGCGAGTCGCCATGGCCATTTGCCATGACATCCATCCATCCGCTTCCCTCCGCCCTTCCCACCCCACCTTCAACATTCTCCCTACTCCTGCTCCCCGTCTTTCCCTCTCCCTAGATGTGGCACGAGTGGCGGTTGGCATATGCTACGACATTCGCTTCCCTGAGCTTGCCATGCTCTATGCCGCTCGAGGTACGTTGTTGTTTCTTCCTGAGGGTCGCTGCTGTGCTTGGGAGGCTGCTGCTGTGCTGTGCTTGGGAGGCCGCTGCTGTGCCCAGGAGGCCGCTGCTGTGCCCAGGAGGCCGCTGCTATTCCCCTGGGCGCTCTCTACGACATCCGCTTCCCTGAGCTTGCCATGCTCTATGCTGCTCGAGGTATGCTGCTGTTCGTGACTCTTGAGGCATCATGTGATTTAGAGCTTGCGTCAGGCGTGCTGCAGGGTGTGATTTCAGAATTCTCAAAAACACCTTTTTTGAGGCGCCTCAAAAATCACCCTGAGGCATCATGTGATTTAGAGCTTGCGTCATTCAGGCGTGCATGGCTTTAAGCGCCTTCAAAACAACGACTTATGAAGCGCCTCAGAACGGCTTTTGACGCGCAAAAAGGTGAATCTAGAGCTTGCACCAGGCGTGTGTGTGTCTCATCTGCTACCCGGAGGGCGGGTGTCCTCAACATAACTAGGGCTGCTTCCCCTTTCCACATATTCCATTCACTTTCATTGCTATGCTGCCCAGGGCTGCTTCCCCGTTCCGGACCTTCCTTACAAACTCTTTCGTGCCCTGCTGCCTTGGCTTCCCTCCCTACTCCCACTTCCCACTCCAGGCGCACAGCTCGTCTGCTCTGCTCCCCTGGTGCTCCCCTGGTGCTCCCCTGGTGCTCCCTCAGCGTGACTACTTCCTCCTTCCACATTTGCTCTTTCCTCACTCTGTCTGTCTCCACCCACCCCCCTCTCTCCCTTCTACATGTACTTCCCACATCAGGCGCACAGCTCATCTATTACCCGGGTGCCTTCAACATGAATTTTCCCCCTTCCCCATCGTCACTTCACCCTCTGTGCCCTCGTCCCCTCCCTCTCTCTCGTTCACATGTACCTCCCACGTCAGGCACATAGCTCATCTGCTACCCCGGTGCCTTCAACATGACCCCTTACTTCTTCCTTCCACGCTTTCCCTTCGATCTCTCTCCCTTTATTCCCACCCTTCCCTCCTCTCTTATTTCCGCGTCAGGCGCACAGCTCATCTGCTACCCACGTGCCTTCAACATGACCCCTTCCCCTTCCACACTTTCCCTTCAATCTCTGTGCCCTTATCTCCTCCCTCTCTCCCTCTCTCCCTCTCTCCCTCTCTCCCTCTCTCCCTCTCTCCCTCTCTCCCTCTCTCCCTCTCTCCCTCTCTCCCTCTCTCCCTTCCACATGTACTTCCCGTGTCAGGCACACAGCTCATCTGCTACCCACGTGCCTTCAATTCAACATGACCCCTTCCCCTTCCACACTTTCCCTTCTGCCTCCATACCAACTCTTACCTCCCACATCAGGCGCTCATATAATCTTTTATCCCAGTGCCTTCAACATGACCCCTTCCACATCTTCCCTTCAATCTCTGTGCCCGTATCCCCTCCCTCTCGCCCTTGCCCGTATCCCCTCCCTCTCTCCCTTGCCCGTATCCCCTCCCTCTCTCCCTTGCCCGTATCCCCTCCCTCTCTCCCTTGCCCGTATCCCCTCCCTCTCTCCCTTGCCCGTATCCCCTCCCTCTCTCCCTTGCCCGTATCCCCTCCCTCTCTCCCTTGCCCGTATCCCCTCCCTCTCTCCCTTGCTCGTATCCCCTCCCTCTCTCCCTTGCCCGTATCCCCTCCCTCTCTCCCTTGCCCGTATCCCCTCCCTCTCTCCCTTGCCCGTATCCCCTCCCTCTCTCCCTTGCCCGTATCCCCTCCCTCTCTCCCTTCTGCATGTACGTCCCACATCAGGCGCACAAATCATATGCTACCCGGGTGCTTTCAACATGACCACTGGTCCTTTGCACTGGCAGCTGCTGCAGCAGGCTAGGTAAGTAGGGACTAACTGGGTGGGTGGGTGCTTGGGTCGGCTCAAGGACGTAGAGTCGAGTTTAGGAGCTGGGATCTAGTTTGAGGCGTCTTGGAACCAGCCTTATTCCACATGGGTTTCTAGCTTGATGCTTCAAGTCGTGTTTTGTGTCGACTCAAAACAGGAACCTTATTCCACATGGGTTTCTAGCTTCATGCTTCAACATGACAACTGGACCGCTGCACTGGCAGCTGCTGCAGCAGGTCAGATAGGATAGAATCCCTTCAGTTGAGAATAGATGGTTTCGAACCGCTGCAAGCCTTCTAAGAGTCTATGACGATTTATAGTACCAACTCTACTAGTCCAGCTGACTTTTGAGTCGACTCAAAAGTCATGACGATCTATAGTACCAACTCTACTAGTCCAGCTGCTGCAGCAGGCCAGATAGGGTAAAATCCCTTCATCTAGGCTCCTGTGGTTTCGTCTTGGCACATCTAGGTTCTATCCTCAAAGCACATGTGCCAACCTTAGTTGGAATTGACGGAGCTAGCGTTTTTTACGCTACCGTTTTGACGGTCCGTTTTTTACGCTAGACGGAACCCTTTGACAGTTTGACGGTGGTATTGACGCTCTGGCGGGCAGGCAAAAAAAACCTTCGGGCAGCCCAAAAAAACACTGGGGGGGGGGGGGGGGGTCTCGGGGGGGGGGGAGAAGTCGCTCGCGAAAACCTAGAATGAAGTCGCGGGAGGTGAGGATTGCGTTAAATCTGTGTGTGCAGGTTTGGTTTTTTAGTTGTAGCGCGGTCGAAATGGGTGGGGGGGTTGGATTTCGTGTTGTGTTTTTTGTGTGTGCTGCAATGTGGTGCAATGTCAAGTGAAATGTGTGTGTGCTGTGCAGGTTTGGTTTTGTAGTGCGGTCGAAAGGGGTGGAGGGGTTGGATTTGTGTTAGGTTTTTCCTGCCTTAGAAATCGCGATGTACTCCCTTAGCAGTCGCGATGTACCCTCTTAGAAGTCGCGATGTACTACCTTAGCAGTCGCGATGTACTACCTTAGCAGTCGCGATGTCGTGTGCCTCAGCAGTCAGGACGTCGTCGCGATCTCCAGAAGCGGGGGAAAATAATTTTCATTTCGGGCTGCCCGATTTTTTTTTTTGGCGACCGTCAAGCGTCAAACGGTCCGTCAACCGTCCAGCGTCAAATCGGTCCGATTTGACGCTTGACGCTGGACTGTCCCAGCGTCAAATCCATCTAAGGTGCCAACACCGGTTCATGTGTGTCACCTGATGTCTGCCCCGTGTCACCTCCTCCGTCACATGTAGGTTCATGAAAACACAATCAATCATCTCCTCCGTGTCACCTGATGTCTGCCCCCCACCAGAAATCTTTCTCTACTGTGCTTTCATCTCTCTGCCCTCTCCTCCCCTCTCTCCACCCACACCTCTCTCCGTCCACTCCCACTGTCAATCCCCGCATATACCCCCCACTACCGTGCTGCCACTACCACTACCATTCTGCCACTACCACTACCATTCTGCCACTACCACTACCACTACCACTGCCGCTGCCACTGCCACTGCCACTGCCACCACCGCCACTGCCGCTGCCACTGCCACTGCCACTGCCACTGCCGCTGCCGCTGCCGCTGCCGCTGCCGCTGCCGCTGCCGCTGCCGCTGCCGCTGCCGCTGCCACTGCCACTGCCACTGCCGCTGCCGCTGCCGCTGCCGCTGCCACTGCCACTGCCACTGCCACTTCCACTGCCGCTGCCGCTGCCGCTGCCGCTGCCACTGCCGCTGCCGTTGCGGCTGCCACGGCTGCTGGCCTTGCGTCGATCTTGTGCTCCGCTCCGCATCACACCGACAGGGCCGTGGACAATCAGGTGGGTGGGGTTCTTCATTGCTTAGAACCTGTTTAATCCTTTTTTTTTTTTTTTTTTTTTCCCCTCAAAATTACAAATGTTGGGTATGGAGTGCTTTATGTAAACCTCTGCTTCACACATGCTTACCTCACCCACCCTCCCACCTCCCCACCACCACCGCCCTGTTCCCCCTCCCCCTCCCCCCCCTCACTCCATTCTTCCGCCTATCCTCGCCGTTTGACTTTTCGTCCTGCCCTCTGCTACCCAGTTATTTGTTGCCACGTGTTCACCTGCCCGGGATGACTCAGCGTCGTACCGAGCTTGGGGTCACTCCACCCTCGTTGGACCAGTGAGAGGAAACAAAGGGGAGGGGAGGGGAGGGGAGGGGCGGGGAGGGGAGGGGAGGGGAGGGTAGCTTGCTTGGGGTTACCTAAAGGGAAAGGGGAAGGGGAAAGGGAGGGCTTGGTTTCTGGGACTGGTCAAATCATGTTTGAGAGCGCATGTGTAGTGTTTCTGCAACCCTTCATTGCGAATCCAGTCTCTTGGGGTAACTGAAAGTGGCGTTTTACCTGTTCATGTGCTTGTCTCGCCTTGCTATCCCTTCTCTGCCCCTTGCCTTGCCCCCCATGTCGTGCTTGCCGTCAGTTTGGGGAAATAGTGGCAACAACAGAGCATGAGGAGGCGCTGGTGGTAGCTGAGGTGGATCTGACTCAGATTGACACGCGCAGGTGGGCAGATAAAAAGGTTCATTGCTGTGGCATGGGGTGGCGTGGCATAGTGTGGTGTGGCATGGTGCAGCGAGTGACATGGATGGTATGGCACGAGAGGGCATGAAGAGGCGCTGGTGGTAGCTGAGGTGGATCTGAGGTGTGCGAAGACAGATGGCATGGCATGACATGGTGCAAGTGGCACGGGCGGTATGTTATGGCATGACACGGTGCAAGTGGCACGGGCGGTATGATATGGCATGACATGGTGCAAGTGGCACTGGCGGTATGATATGGCATGACATGGTGCAAGTGGCACGGGCGGTATGATATGGCATGACATGGTGCAAGTAGCACGGGTGGTATGATATGGCATGACATGGTGCAAGTGGCACGGGCGGTATGATATGGCATGACATGGTGCAAGTAGCACGGGCGGTATGATATGGCATGACACGGTGCAAGTGGCACGGACGGTATGTCATGGCATGACATGGTGCAAGTGGCATGGGTGGTATGTCATGGCACGACATGGTGCAACTGGCACGTGCGGTATGTCATGGCATGGCGCTGTATGGCGCGCGAGGCTTGACGAGGCGCTGGTGGTAGGCTCATTGGACCTGAATCAGATTGACTTTCATAGGTGGGGTTTAGGGGATGCTCTCCATGCTATTGGATGGCCCTGACTCATAATCGAAGGGCTGCAGTAGCAGGAAAGACGCTTTAGCAGAGGAACAACAGTAGAACAAGTGTGAAAAACGCAGATCTGGAAAACCCTTAGGGGATGCTCTCCATGCTATGGGATGGCATGGTATTGTGAAAATGGAATGGAATGTCATGCTATGTGGATCTATTTCAATGTGCATGTGTATCCATCCTCGTGTGCATGTGTATCTATCTCCATGTGCATGTGTATCCATTGCCATGTGCCTTCGTATCCATCCCCATGTGCATGTGAATCCCCTCATGTCCATGTGTGTCCATCCCCATGTGCATGTGAATCCCCTCATGTGCATGTGCGTCCATCCCCATGTGCATGTGTATCCATCCCCATGTGCATGGCTCGCTGGCAGGCAAAACATGCCCATCAAGGTGCAGCGAAGAGCGGACCTTTACCAACTCATGGACAAGACTGCAGCCGATCACTAGGCGCACTCAATCACTACCATGCCTCACTGACTGCTTCTCATACCTGATTTCTTGCTTAGTAATATGGTGCTGAAATGATTAGTAAGGAGAATTTCGGCATCAAAGTTCTCCTTTAGGGGAGTTCCTTCATCACGGGAGAATGTTATAGGCACGGTAGGATCTGTTGCATGTGCTGTTTCCTTTGCCGTGTCACTGATGTTCCTCCCACCTGTTTATGCCACTGATGTGGTACTTGGATGCGTTCTCATATCATGCGACAGGCCAGGCCACGCCAGCACAAAATGCTTGTGGCCAGCCGCAGAAAAGGATGGCAGCTGGAGGTGCTACAAAGGAAGTCGAAATGAAATATATTTTTGTTGCTTCAGCGGCAAAGCAGGGAGATTGAAATGACATGAACATACCTGAGCCCTGCTAAGGAACCCATGAGACCTCAAACAAGCATACTCATTGCTGCTGAAGAACCTCAGCCTAATAATAAACACACTCTATGTTTACTTGGAGTTTTCATCATGGTTGCCCAGCCCACAGAGAAAATGAGGAGCGAGAGTCCCTTTTTGGGCCTAGTAGCTGTGCATGGGTAGTTTTGTTTACTGAGAGCATGCAATGCTGTGGCAAACAGCAGCCTCTACCTCAGCACCATGACTGGCTGCATGAGTTGTGCTTTCAGGTTCTCCCTATAAGCTGCTTCGAGACTGGACACCCCAAACACGTCCAGCAGCTCCCATCCCTCGAGCAGCAGCGGCATGCGGATGGGACCGTACACCCGATGCGCATTGAACACCAGCGTGTCGTTTCCCACTGGGAGCCCCAGGAAGAAGAGCCCTCCTGGCTTCAGCAGGCCCCTGATCTGCGCAGCAGCAAGGGGAGGAGGGGATGACAGGGAATGACACCAGCCGCAAGGGACGGAGATGCCAGAGGATATGCCCGCGAATGGAACATGACATGGCAGATTACATGGCAAATGACATGGCAGAATACATGGCAAATGACATGGCAGCTTACATGGCAAATGACATGGCAGATTACATGGCAAATGACATGGCAGATTACATCGCAAGTGACATGGCATATGACGTGGCAAATGAGAAGGCAAATGAGTTTTGGGAGCATAAGACAAGGGACGACAGGCCTTTGAGGCGGCTCCAACAGCAGAACGAGAGGAGATGCCAGAAGACATGGTGGCGAAGGTTAAGACGTAGAATTATGTGAGAGGAGGTGGTTTAATAGGGGTAACGGGAATGGTAAGGACGTGCACGCATCAGCTGATGCAAACACGTGGCAGGATACGTACATTTTTAGCAGAGATCAAACACGTCGGAAGCACGGTTACACAACCCATACAAGGAAACCGCATACCATCATACCATCATACCAAGCACCTCAGCAAACTTACCTTCATCATTCTGAGCCGATCCCCATCCGGGTTTAGCGGATCGCCATATCTCCCCAGCCCATCGTGCTCCAGCGACGAATACGAAGCCACCACGTCAAAGGTCTCATCTGAAGCGTCCAGCTCAGCAATATTCCACAGCCTCAATCCGGGATAATCTGCAACCGGTTTGTTGAAATCAACGGTTGTGATCGACCCAGCTTTATACGCCAACAGAATCCCTTCCAGCCAAGGAATTTGACTCCCTACCACCAGCACCGATTTCCCTTTCACAGGGTACCTATCAAGCGTCTCGTAGAAAGTTAAGGTTGTATTTTTTCCGTAACTGGAAACTATCGGGGCTCGCGCCTCCGCCAGTTGCCGTTTATTGTCGATTACTTCTTTAGGCCAGACGAACGCCTCCACTCCGGAGTCCTTTTTACCCGTACCGTAGAAATGATCAACGGCCTGGATCGAACCGTTGACTGTGAACTCATCGCGAACGGACGGTCGGATGTACGTCCAAGGGATGGGTCCCTGGAGGCCGTAGTCCCGAATGTGAAATCTCGAGGGTCTCTGAGAGTCTTGCTGGTCACTGGCAGTGATGGTGCAGTCGTCTGATGGTCGGCTCGGACTGTCATTCCACGAAGCCGTGTCTGCACGGTGCATGCGCAATATTAGTCGTACAAAGGGATTAGGTCATATACGTGATGAGACTAAATGTGGTATGAGAATGCCACTCCCAGAAATAGAAAATGAGAAGATAGCTTCTCAAGTTGACAATGGAACGTACTACCTCGAATGGAATATCTGATGGTAATAACATCTGAGAAAGGAGAAAGAATGAAAGAAAAAAAAAACACGAAAGAAGTGCGACGCGGGCGTCGGGGCTTACAGCATTGGCTAGCGATTATAACGGTGGCGATCAGGACTGCTGACACAATCACCGTCTGCTGCCAGTTCACCAGTTTGGCCATACGCTTTGCTGCAGACAGCATGGTGAATGGCTGATGGTTGACGACGTACTTTCTATGAATATCTCGCTCAGATTTGTTGTTGATAAGTTATACTGTCGCCTCGAATGCAAGTGACCTTGCGTCTGTTCTAGTGCAGAAATCTCACTAGTTTCGGAACGACTTTTGCAGCACGAACCGCTACGAAGACTGCTGTTGTGAATGCAGCTGTATGAAGTCTCGGGACAACCAGGCTAAGCTGTTGACACTCATGCATCTGACAAAAACACAGGAATCATAAACTTCCTCATCGCCTGGCATCACACATCCGTCTGCGAGTGAAGCTCTGCCTGCTTGCTTGTTCCAGGTTCCCGGCTCTTGACTTGAATCCCATCCGAAGCCAAATCTCGGTCTCTCTCCTTATCACCCGCAACTTCAGTAGAGTGGGACCAGCTCAATATCATCACCAACGGCCAAGATAAGGAAATGGAAATGTCAGCCTCGTCTGGGCCGCCGATTGTTCTTTGGCCAACCTTTGTATGGCTTGTATGCCAATGGTTGTGCCTGTCATCCCGCCGAATCCGCGCGGTGTAGACCCCGGAGCGCGCGTGACCCTGGGTTGCATTGCGATTGACCATGGCCCATGGGATGGGACCTCGGGTGGTTTTGCTGAGCGGGAAACACCACTTGAATGTGGTGGGGAATGTACTTACCTAACGAAAAAACCTTTCCCTTACCTCTTGTCCCTTCTTCCCGCGTACATGACCGTTCCCGCCATCGGCACCCAGCAGTGACACGTTACCCGCTCGCGACACTCGCATCGACCACGACTCCCGCCACCTTCACGATGCGACCCAACCTAGCGGTTTGGTTGGTAACCCGCGCTCTGCACCTCCGCCTCGACATTTCCCAACCTCGGCGCTAAGCCCGTAGCGCACCCCATTTTCTCGCGTTACCGTTACCACGATAGCTTCGCTATATATTCTTCGCTCATGCCTTCGCTCATTGTATTGTTTTGCTTCGATAGTGCAATTCTCGCTCGCTCGCTCAATTACACTCGTAACACTTGGTATTCAGAGCCTTTGATCTCCTCTCGGACCGCACCCACACCTTCGCTTCCCCATTATCTCAATTTTTGGAGGAGGTAGACGTCTTTCAGCGACCCAGCACCGCCGCTCGAAGCGCTCTCTTGTAAGCACGCACGGCCACGACAGAGGCTCTCGCTGAGTTTGCCTGACACCCCCTGTCGAAATAACTGAACGAGAATGATGAAACTAACAGCATGCAGGAGTACAAGTAGCAAACCCTAATTGGGTTGTACCCCATATGGGCTACCCCACTATAGCCTACACAACATGATAGTTTGACACACCCCCATAGGCAAAGTGGGGGAGAACAAGGGGTCACAAGACCAGTCAAGAAAAGCAAAGCAAGCTCAGGGTGGATCACGAAGTCACCACGCACTCTGAGCACAAGCAAATGGCCACAAGGCCAGTTCACATGCAGAGTTATATAAAACAGAACAAGCAGGACAGTGATCACAACCTAGCAAGTGAATGTCAGAATGTTGTATTTGTCTAGCCTGCAGTGGGGTACTCTATAGCGAGTACAGCCCAATTTAGGGTTTCCTATATGTACTCAACTGCTTGCTAGTGCAACCCCTCTTTCCTGTTCTATCGTTCTACTGCTGATTCTGTCATGCTATCAGAGCGGTTACGCTCCTAGCCTGTGGGCCCACCGTTAGCTTCCGCTGCTGTCCTGTCTGTCGCGCGCCCCGTGGCGCGCGACGTTTTTTCTTCCCGCCACGTGCTCGAGGCGCATGGCGGTTTTCTGCCCGCCGAGCGCTCGGGGCGCGCGGCGGTTTTCTGCCCGCCGTGCGCCCCGAGGCGCGCGGCGGTTTCCTGCCCCGTCGACTCGCGCGACGCCCTGCCCTGCCCGTCGCGGCGCCCCCGGGGACCCGCGCACTGCTTTTCGTCGCCCGTCGCGGCGCCCCCAGGGACACGCGCGCCGCCCCCCCCCCTCCCGTCGCCTCGTCGCGGCGCCCTGGGGGCCCGCGCGTCGCTCCCTACCGTCGCCTTGTCGCGGCGCCCTGGGGGCCCGCGCGCCGTCCCCTCCCGTCGCCTCGTCGCGGCACCTTGGGGACCCGCGCGTCCCCCCCTCCCGTCGCCTCGTCGCGGCGCCCTGGGGGCCTGCGCGTCGCCCCCCCTCCCGTCGCCCGTCAAGGCGCCCTGGGGGCCCGCGCGCAGCCCCTCCTGTCGCCCGTCGAGGCGCCCTCGGGGGCCCGCGCGCGGCCCCCCTCCCGTCACCCGCCGTGGCGCCCTCGGGGGGCCCGCGCGCTCCCCCCCTGCAGCTCGCGAGCCGCCCCTACAGCCCGCGAGCCGCCCCACCAGCCCGCGAGCCGCCCCTGCAGCCCGCGCGTGCTGCCCTGTGGAGCCGCGCACCGCTCCCTGCCCTCGTGCAACTGCGCGGTGCCGATTCTGGGGGTGACGGGTGAGTGAGGCCTCCCCTGCTCCTCCTCCTCCTCCGTCTCCCACTGCTGCAGCTGCCGCTAAGGGGGGTGGATGTGTGGGAGCCGTCGGAGTGGTATTAGGGGGGTGGAGTGTGAGCAGTGCTAGGGGAACAGCAGGGGTGTGTGTGAAAGGGGTGTGGGACAGCTGGGGGAGGTTGAGTGGAGGCAGCCGTCTTGTCGTCCGCAGCGCCAGTAGTCCGGAGGCTACAATCTCCGGTAGTCGCCAGTCGCCCGTGGGTCAGTTGCTCCAGCCGCTCGGGGTAGCCGCGGAGCCAGTTACTCCTGAAGTCCGGGCCTTTGCTTCGGTAGCCACTGAGCCAGCCGCTACAGTGTGTCTGCAGCTTCAGCCGTCGCCTCCCATCTTCTCGCCCCCATAGTCTCTCCTCCTCCTCACTTGCCCTTTGTGATAGCCTCTAGCTTTGCTTATCATTGTGAACTATTGCTCTGCCTGCTTGTTGTGCTGATTACACCCCACTTTTTCTATGGGGGTGTGTCAGAATGTTGTATTTGTCTAGCCTGCAGTGGGGTACTCTATAGCGAGTACAGCCCAATTTAGGGTTTCCTATATGTACTCAACTGCTTGCTAGTGGAACCCCTCTTTCCTGTTCTATCGTTCTACTGCTGATTCTGTCAGTGAAAGCATGCAGGTATATATATATATAGATCACTGTACAGGCAAAGTCAAGCAGTGAGCAAGTGAGACGAAGCAGGCAGAAGGCCTAAAGCAGTACAGAAACGCTGATGATCACCAGACCCAAGGGCCTTAGTGAAGACATCAGCAGTGTTGGCCCGAGTGGCCACGTAAGCAAGACGAAGCTGACCACGCTGCTGCAACTCTCGAGCAAGGAAGTAACGCAGAGCGATGTGCTTCATCCTGTGCTCCAGTCTGTGCTCCTGACACAGGGAAATCATGGCCTTGTTGTCTACGTACAGAACTGGAGGAGAACGAGGCCGCTCTCCCAAGTCGGTCAGCAGGAAGGTGAGCCAGCGTAACTCCTGTGCAGCCATGGCCCCTGCGTAGATCTCAGCCTCACAACTGGAGCTGA